CGGCTGTAGAGGTCGTCTTAAAAAAGTGTCGGCTTCAGAAGGTGTTGAAATTCTAGACAGATTCTCATGATGAAACTGATACACGGATTGAGCTGATACTCATTTGCACTTGGTGATTGTCTGATTGTCCGACTGTGGCCCCAGCTGCCATTGACCATATCTTGGAATGTCACTTTGGGCTGTGTACACATTGCCCACTTCCTCTGACTCCAGCATACTCCTGCCACTGGTGCCTGAAGCCAAGTACATATGACGTTAGCCACAACCCACATATAGCCTGTAGTTCTTGAGAAACACTGCCATTTCCTCAAACCCAGCTTCCGTCCAGTTTATAAGCTGTGGTTGAGTTGCGGTGTGTGTGCATTTGAGACATCTATTGTGCATGCACAGATGACAGCGCATGTGTGGACGACAGATGCAGTGACTTGGAGTTTCAGGAAGCAGGGAAGAGTTACTAACATGGGGAAATGAATCTGGTAATACATCGGGTGAAGACATCTCTGCACCCTCTCTAGAGTGTAAAGCAGCATGCAAATGTGACTTTTAATAGACAGCAGGGGAAACCACTTTGCTGTGTTTTAAGGCACTAATGTGAACATGGCCTGAGTCACAGGAACTGGTTGTAGGGACAGGTTCAAATGCAATTCAACAATTCTATTATTCCAGAAAGTTATGGTTCTCTGTAGTGGATTTTCTGCATCAGCAGGGTGTTGGACCAAATGGCTTTTGAGGTCCTGCCAAGGCTTTGATTCTCTTCTCAGCTAATGAATAAGAGTGGAGCTTACAAGCTTTGACTTTTGTTCTGTTCACATGGCACAAAAATGATGCCTTTTCAAAGAACAGATCAAAGTCCATTGAGTTCAACATTCTGTGAAAGAATGTATTTGAAGAAACGTAACAATAGTCCGGTTAACGCACAAGTAGGATTTGAACTGCAACCAGCAGTAAAACAATTTAGATACAGTATTAAGTTAGGATGAAGAGGGAAGTTAGGTATAATATGCAGCAAGATAAGGGGAAACAAGGAAACCACGGAGGGGTGGAGAGGAAGTTCACATTTCTTAAAAATATTGGGGGAAACCAAATATTTTGAAACTTTTGAAAATCAAAATAAAATTGTAAAAAGAAGAGAGAGCAAAAATTCAGGCAGCAGATAGTAGGAAAGGCTCCTCCCTCCTGATGTTTCAGACTGCAACTCCTATCAACCGTGCTGGCTGGGGCTGAAGGGAGCAGCAATCCAAAACATTTGGAGGGCACCAGGTTGGGGAAGACTGGGGTAGATGGACACAGGAAGCTGCCTTATACGGAACCAGACCATTGGTCCATCCATCTCAGTACTGTTTACACTGATTGGCAGCAGTTCTCTAGGGTTTCAGGCAGGGGACATTCCCAGCCTTACTTGGAAAGATCAGGGATTGAACCTGAGGCCTTTTGCATACAGAGCAGAAGCTCTACCACCGAGCTGTGGCCCTTCCCCAAATGGCCTGGCCTGCTAGGAGGCGGCTGTTCTGCTGCTAGGCTTGGGTAATTTGCAAGTGTCTTGTGGTTAAAACCCAATTTATTTAGTTGGGCAAAAACATCTCTATTAACTTTAATTGAAGCTGAGCAACTGCATCCCTGGACACATGACGGAAACTAGACTGTAATCATGTACAAGGCAAAAGAAGCAGAGATTAGTGAGGCTGTACAAAAGAGCTCACCTGACTATGATTAATGGCGCTTTCAGACATTCAAGTCATATGGTGGGGTTTGTGGTCACCCTAAGGGAAACATGACACCTTCTTAAACCTGACATCATTTTGTCACCAACACACACTACAATGTCCGTTCTTGTCCTTCTCTGGCAGGCATAGTCTGTGAGGAAGACCCGTGTCTCGCACACAAAACAATGGTAGGGGAAGTGAAGTCATACAAGCCAGGATTAGGCACAAATAATCCTTCTACGTCCAAAAAGTTTCCAGGGATCAGCAACAGAGGAGAGCCAGTCCAGGCAAGGTAAATCACAGTGTCTCATTTTAGGTCAGGAAGTACAGGCTCTATTGTTATTTATTTATTTTCAACCATTTATATACCGTTTAATTATAATACCCTCTGAGTAGCGTACAGGAGGAACTGAATGCAATGAAACTGAAAGTGAGTTAAAACGATAAAAACAGAATTCAGTTAAAATGCATGCTGGTGTAAGAAAAAGTCTTCTGCAGATGCTGGATGTTCCATATGGAGGGGGCATGTCTGGCCTCTGCTGGAAGGGTTTTGTATAAAATGGGGCCCACAAAACTAGGCTTGGCACCCAGTGTGGCAGAACCAGTCCCACTGCCCTAAATCTGCCTCTGGTGGAGTTACGGTAGCTATCATAGCTAGTAGCCATTGATGGCATTCTCCTCCATGAATTTGTCTAATCCTCTTTCAAAGCCATCCAAGTTGGTGACCTTCATTGCCACCTGTGTGGGAATTCCATTATGTTTTTCTGTCCTGAGAATATGCTTATATCCATATTATTGAAATAGTTGCTATTTTTAAACAATTGCAACTCCAATTTGTTTCGTTTTTTAAGTACAGTAATTGATTTTCATCCATCCAGTTTGAGCATAAATAATGTTCATGCTCGCCCTTATCTAATCTTCTTGTAATATTTCTATATGAAGACTGGAAGTTAATCATCCACACACTCAGAGATGAAAACGATGTGATGATCTTCAGCAGTAAAACTTGCAGCTTCTGTAAGAAGGCAATGCGTTTGCTTTCATGCAAAGTAATGCAGAATTTGGTAGGCGAAGAGTATGGATGCTAAATTAAAGTTACTGAAGAATTGCAGAAGCTGATGCTACTGGCTATTTTATTCATTAACACAAAATTGAAGATACAAAATCTGTATCTCATTTATCTTACATAGTTTTCCAGTTCTCATCATATGCACCTATTATTTTTAAATCAAGGAGAAATTAGGCTAATCACAAATGTATTATGTCTAAATTGTGCTGTTTGTCAATTAATCAACCTCTAATTAGCATATAATTAACAATAACATTGTTCAGGGAAGCGGTCTGTGATAAGCTAGGAAATCAGGAGCCAAGAGTTGCGCTAGGGGACCAGAGTAGAGGAACAAAGCCAGGAGTCAAAAACAAAGAGGAAAGTCAGGGCTAAAGGACGAATTTGAAGACAGATACAAGGGGAAAATAAAAGTTAGGGCCTCAGGACAGATGAGGAGGCAGGTGCAAGCAGCAAGACAAAACACAGGACTGGAGAACAATCAAGGTTGCAGGAGCACCTCAAACTCATATATTCCCTCCTTCCTTTGGAACTCCCAGTGTTCATTTAGCTGCAAACCTTGGTTTCCTATCTTGTCTAAGTGGTCAAACTATGGTTTGCACTTGCCTGCAAACTGTAATTCAGGAAACGGGCGTGTGCATGCCCAAGATTACCATAAACAGCTCCAAGAGTTATGTATAGTCAGCTTCCGCTTTATATGAAGAGAACTGACCATGGAGAGGAAAGGTAATTTTGGACTGAATATAATGAGGGCACTTCCAGGTTGGCCTTTCTGCTCTAGAAATATGATGTATGTCTTCTCCTGAACGCACACTCAAGCACACTACCTCTGCTCTTCATTATAGCTGCTATTGGCATTGTCATTGACAGCACCATATGTTCTCTCTCTCTCTCTCTCTCTCCTGTGAGGAGGAAGAGCTTTCACTTTTAAGCTAACTAGAGTGCCATGTGATGGCCAAACTTGGAGAACTGTGATTGTTGAGAACAAGCCAGGATTATTGAGAACAAGGCAGGATCTCAAACCATGGTTTGATTATAATTTTGTTCCCATTAACCATGGTGTATGCAAACCACAGTTCCCTGAATTCTGTTGTCAATAGGGAACTGTGTTTAGATGAAAAGCGAAAACAGATGCTTTTGATCTCCCCATGAGTACAAAATATGAGGAGTGTGCAAGGCAGGAAGTTGAGGCTTTTTGTGGCAACTTTCTCAATGTGGGAAAGTATAATTTTCTGGACTGAACCTATTTATGCACCTCTTCTGCATCTCACTGTCTTCAAATACTAACCATTCTCTGCCTGTCCTGAATATCTAGGTCAAATAGCTGAATCGAGTCAAGCTCTTTTCACTTTCCTAACTTCTAACGATTCTTTAAGTCAAAAGACAAACTTCTGTGAACTGTTCGGCACTTCAGTCTTGTATGAAAAAGGTGTAACAACCACTGGGGCACAGAGCATAAAAGGGAGGTAGATTCCACAAAAAGACAGCAAGAACAGGAATTTATCAGCATAATGAAAACAGTTACAGTGAAAACAGGAAGGTTTGGTCATGCACTGCAGAGGGAATGAATGTAGATGCATGCATATAACATTATTAGACACTAGCTATGATAATTATAGGGCACTTTCTTTTTGCTTTGTCATGCTGTAGCTGAGACTTTGGACAGTGCAAAAGGTGTGGCAGCTTAAAAGCTCCACGCAAAACTCTTGCATTCTCCTATCTACACCTGGTTGTAGGTTCAGGACAGCCAGGGAACCTTTAAAATTATTTTACTATTAATGTAAAATCAAATAGGGAAGTATTTAATAGTAAAATATTAAAGAGACATAGGAAACCACAGCCCTTTAGGGCAGTTCTAAAATCACTTTTCTTAAAGCACCCCTCCACTATAAAATATCTGAACATGCTCCCATGTTAGAAACTGATTGAGAATCAGATTTTCCTTCCTCTGCTTGCTATATTGTGTAGTGGTGAAAACGCGATTGAATTGCAACCTGCACATTTTGTTGTCTTTCCTCCTTGTCTAGTACTTCCTGGCTCCTGTGTGTTTGAATTCCACTCCCCCCACAAAAAACCTGATAATTAGTTTAATATTTCAAAATGGGTAACTGCAGCTTAATTTTTGCATTTCCTGGTTTAGCTAATGCACACATTGGCACTGCTGAAAACAAGCACCGTTTGGCTTAATATACCCTCCACCTTAGCTAGGAGCCAGACTGGCACCAGTTTCTCCATTAATGGAATGAGCAACCAAGGAGGCATCTTAGGGCAGAGCAAGGCTGGGGAACCTGTGACCCTCCGGATGTTGCTAAACAACCACTCCCAGCATCCTTGACTGTTGGCCATGCTGGCTGGGGCTGATGGGAGTCTGGAGGACCGCAGGTTCACCCACCCCTGGTTTAGGGCTTTGCCTGTACGGAAAATAATAGTCACACCAGTGTTGCAATAATTATTGTCCTGGATTCTGAGCCCTAGGCTCTGTGCTGTCCAGGGAGACAGGGCAGAGGTTCTCTCTAGCCCATCCACTGTCTCAGGAGAGAAGCAGGTGAGGAAGTGGGCAAGTTTTCTCATGCAAAGAAGATCTGGAGTTTCTCAGGGCTGAGGCAGACAGCCTGTTCTCAAATCTTAATTTCCAGAGTTCCAGGATAAGGGCGGGAACATAAGCATGAATGAAACACCTAGGCAATTACTGGGTGATTTGTAGTATTACTGCATTATTTAGTATAGCATCCTGTCCTTGCCCAGAGGCAAATTTTTACTCGCCGTTGGCAAGAAGGCAAGGAATAATTTGTAGGACTGCAAAGTTTAATCATTTGATTCATCACTCCACTGAACAGACATACCTGATTAATCTGGCAACAGGGTGGCTGCTGTGTTGTATGGTTCTTTTAAATGTTACATTATTTTCAATTTGTGCATATAAAAACTGCAGTTGGCAGGCACATTGCAGAAGTGCAAGACAGAATGCCCTTTCTAAGATAGTTCCTGCTGATGTATCAATACACCTAAGGACAAAGTGTGCTTTTCCTTCAAGGCTGTTGTAGTAGTCATATGCAAACTGCTGCTAACCAGTTCATCAATTAAAACTCATGGGACTAATCAATTTAAGGTTAATCAACTTTAACTGTCCTAGTTGATTAATCACAACAACTGTGATGTTCTGGGAAACAGCCCAAAGCTCTGGTAAAACCCACTGCAAAGATTCACAGGAAAATTGGAGATGAAAAGTCTGCCTTGCGGGGTTTAGCAGGGGAATTGGCACAGTTCCAATGTGTTTGACCTGTGCACTCACTGCCAGGCACCTAATACAGCCCCCACAAAATGGAAGTGCCCTGTCTCCATCAACAGTGAATGTATCTTGACAAGAGACTTGAATGTACAACTATTGCAAAAAATCAATTTGTAGAACAACCACACCAATAGATCAGTTTAAAACGCCAAACCATAATTATTTTCTAAGCTAACCCCCTACGGAGCAATTTTGCTAATTGTCAGCCAAGTTATGCCTCCCCCAACATTCACCTGATACCTTAATTTTCATTTACAAGTCCGGTTACTCTTGTTTATTTCTTTGCGATACCCAAAGAATCCAGATCTTCATCTTATATCAGCATATTTAGGGGTGCAGGGTAGATTACGAAAGACTGCATTTTCATACTTAAGTAGTAGCTGCTTTTCTCTCACGGCATTTTAATAGGTTACACAACCAGTTGTCCGAAGCTCACAAGATACTTGTTTCCCTCCCTCTTTGTTGGTCTTTTCCTCCTGTCTTATGTTAATCAGCCAGGAAGCCTAAATGCTCATTCCTAGGCATGTCTACAAGAAGTAATTCCCACAGTGACTTTTAGGCTGTGTATGCACTGTACCTTTAAAGCACATTCAAAGCACATACTTTCCCTCAAGTAATTCTGAGCACTGTAGTTTACCCACCAACACTGCCCCTGTCCTCATTTGGGATATCACCTGAAGGCACATACAAACAGATACGTTTATTCAAGGGTTGCTAGCTTCAGTTGTAGACAGGATGGCTCTTTCAGACATGCTGAATGTACCCAGGGATGTGGTGAGTGGTGAGGCAGGCGAAACGGACGACGACAGGGTTAGCAAGGGCAAGTGGCCACGATTCAATCCCACTCTCTGTGCACATTCAGAGTCATTGTTGGCATCTGTCTGTCTCAAGAGACAATGGAGTGTGCCTCCGGGGGCGAAGTCAAACCGCTATGTTAGTGGTTTGAGTGACCATCTAGGGGTGCAAGCCTGGGCAGTGTGTCTGGAGATCATGGCTGCCCAGATGACAAGACCCTCCCCTTGACCTCGCTGGTGTGGTACAAAGGAAAGCAGAGCAATATGTTTGGCATATTGGCTGCAGGAGTTGCCAGGAGGAGGCGTACAAGGTGTTGGTATCCAACTGTCTTAGGGACCCCACTCCAGATTTGTGTAGGGTTTACACCTTAGCCATTTCTTCTCCCAAAGATGTTTTGCAAGGCAGCGGAGGTTTACGATTAGAGTATTCCATCTCCTAGATGGACTCCCTATTCCAGGTTGACAAACCCCATCTGCCCCTCACTTCTCTCTACAGCATGTGCAGAAACCACCGGCTTGACCATTGGACCCACTATTGGTCTTGTCCACTCAATCACATGCAGGGGAAGCCCCTAACTCACCAAGGGTTTGGTACCCCACTAGCTACTCTCTAGCCAGCCAGTAAAAGCTGTTCCCGGGGTGTGGCTGCTGTTACATGCTGACAACCTCTGAGAGTCACAGGTGAGAGCTGAGTACAGGGTGGGGACCAAAGGTGGACAAACTACCCCAGAAGGAGCACAATGTGTCTCCTACCAAAGGTACGACCCCACCCCTAAAATACCCCATACACCTCATACTACAGAGTCCTCATACTGTGTTTCAGTTGCAGGTAAAAGGTAAGGTGAAGGACCCCTGGATGGTTAAGTCCAGTCAAAGGTAGCTGTGGGGTGTAGCGCTCATCTCGCTTTTCAGAGAGCTTCCCAAAAGTGAAATGTGGCCTTCAAGATGAAAAAGATTCTCCATCCCAGCTTTCGATCTCTGCCATGCTATTGAACAAGTGTGTTTTTGCTTTGTCATGCTGCCACTGGCTGCTAGCCCAGAACAAAAAGGGAGTGGCCCGTTAAAAATATCCACACAACGTCTTTGGTCTTGCCTGTGTCTATGTGTGTCCTGTGATTTCTGGGAGGTAGCAGAAAACGAAGTGTTCCTTTAAAAGCTTCTTTAAGACAATGTTATTGAAGGCATTAAACTTGTTTATATAAGGTCTTAACTGGTTGATCTGCCTGAAGTGTGGCACCCTTGTTCTGATCACAGTTACTTGAAAACAAGTTCCTTTTATCTCTGTGAAATGTGATCCAAAGTATACGTAACTTGGATTTATATGACGCCTGAGGCCTCATATAAGTGATCCAATAATAGGCGTGGGAAGGGAAAAACAGCAGTGTTACTTTACCCCTTGTTCTTTATGGGAATTATTCACCAGGGACCAGAGGAGAGACATACAATAGTATCTGAATTCTAGCACAAGTACTAATCAAAAAGGTGCTGGTATGTGGTGTTCCTGATGGATCCATTCCACGATCCTAGCTAGTATTCCAAAATACCCCATGTACAGCTTTCATACTTGTGCTTTAAAGACAGAAGAGACTTTGGAGAAATAAAGAATACACATTTGCTTTGGCTTGTACTGTATATCAGTTTGTGTCCTGAGATGTAAATGAGCACAAATCTGATTCAAAAAATGGCGGCATTCAGGAACCAGTGGGAGAATATTTCAGTTTCCCAGAACACTGGTCTCCTGACCCAAGGGAGCCTTCAACAAAATACTTTCAGAGGCTCCAGTGTGAGATTGCGGAACTATATTTTATCAGAATGTTTTATTCTATTTGCTTAGGATGCAATCCAGACCAAGGTCCACTAAAGGTGCTAAATTAGTAATTATTGCTAATTACTCCTGCTGTGATTAGCTGCTGTTCTTATCTTGTGTATATTTGAGCTTTGTACACACAATGTCACAGACTGCACATTTCAGGTTCAATCTTTCCCTCTAAACTCAGGCATGCATATGATAAAGTCACTCTGTCTGATTGCCAGCTGAAGCTCACATATTTGATGAAGTGGGCTTTCAGTCAATGAAAATGCATACTACAATAAATCTGTTAAAGGTTCCAGCAGACTCTTTTTATGTAAACTGTTTGGTAACTTTCAGCCTTTTTAAACACCATCCCCAATGCTAATGCCTGTCGAAGCACTTAAATCAGCAGATGCCACCCTTTTGGAGCCAGTGGGCACATATGGAATTTTGAAAACCATATAATGGTAGAGTTGGAAGGGATCTTGAGAATCATCTAGGTCCAACCCCCTGAAATGCAGGAATATGCAGCTGTCCCATACCGGGATCGAACCTGCAATATTGGTGTTATCAACACCACACTGTAATCAATTGAGCTATCCAGGTAGGATAGCATGGGCACAAGTCACAAAATGAATACCACGTCTAAAGGCAGAAAAAGAAACAGGACCGCAACATGCTACAGGCACCCTCTCCCATCAGTGGAGGGAAAGGCACCTATATCAGGCACTGCTTTATTCGCTGACAGAGATAAGTCCTTTGCATCTGCCCCTTGCTCAGAATGGAATGGAAAGTGGATGTCCGATCCTTGCATTCAATAATATGTGAACATCTTTAAGGAAGTGTCTGCAGTGTAGGAGAACTTGAGCCAGGGCGAACAGGAACTAAGCAGAAAGAGCAAGCAGTCTCGCTGAACGCAATAGAATAATTGAATCTTAAGAGTTGGAAGGGACCCCGCAGGGTCATCTAGTCCAACCCCCTTGCAATGCACGAATCTCAACTAAAGCATCCATGGCAGATGGCCATCCAACCTCTGTTTAAAAACCTCCAAGGAAGGAGAATCCACCACCTCTCGCGGAAGTCTGTTCCACAGCGGAACAGCTGTCAGAAAGTCTGCCCCCCCCCAATGTTTAGTCGGAATTTCCTTTCTTGCAACTTGAAGCCATTGGGTCTTGCTGCCGAGGAGCCACGTGTTACTACTAACCCCCCCCCCAAAGGAGCGTAGCGAATTCGGTCCGGTTCGATCCGTGGCACGTAATGAGGAGGAAGGAGGAAGAAGCCTGGGGGGGCGGAGAGTCACAAAAAAAGCAAGTCATGCTTACTTTGCCTTTGACTCAGCGCAGAGCTTCAAGGAACTTGGCGAGACGCGGCGCTGGGGAGGCGGGAGGCCACGCCCCCCCAAATCCCCGGGCTCGAAGCGTCATAAAAGGCGTTCCTCGCGCACGCGGCGTGCTTCTCCTTTCTTCCCCTTTGCAGAAGATGCGCCGCTGCTGAGAGTCGCGGTCCTGGAAGTCGCCATGGAGCCGTCGGTGCCGGTCGTCTTCGTCCGACAGAACCAGATCGGAGGCCAAGACAAGACTGGGAAGGTAGGAAACGGCTGGAAACGAAACAAAGCTTTCACCAGCGTCCTTAAACGCCCGTTTAAAGCAGTGCTCTAACCCTCCCCTCCCCAGGAGTTAAAGGCCCATTGAAATCCGTGGGGCTTGTTGGTGAGTAAACTTGCATGGGATCGTGCACTGAACTTGGCGGGCGGGAAGCTTGCTTCTGAGTAAACGTGCATGGGATTGCGCTGTAAGTCTTGGTTTCCCTCCCCCACAAAGAAGGGAAAGCCTCAAGCACCGCTTGCTTCCTTCAGTGAATGCGTGTCGTATTCCTGTGTTTTGGTCTTAGGTTTTCTCGCGGGCACTTCGAAGCATATGGGGCGGGAAAGGGGGAAGAGTGAAATCTTCCGATAACACTTATTTTTAAAAAAGCAGCGTGGCTTTGAAAGGGAGGCGTCATGATCGAATAGTAGTGCATTGGAATGCCCCCCCCCCGTGCTGTAGTTTAAATTTAATATCCCTCTAAGTCCAGGCATAGGCAAACTCGGCTCTCCATATGTTTTTGGGACTACAACTCCCATCATCCCTGACCACTGGTCTTCTTAGCTAGGGATGATGGGATTTGTAGTCCCAAAAACATCCGGAGGGCCAAGTGTGCCTATGGCAGCTCTAGTCTGTGTGGTGTAACAGAGTAGCGAATTGGATGAGGACCTGGGCAGCCATGAAGCTCATTGGGTGATCTGCTGGAGCCAGGCATTATTTCCCACGGTTGTTTTGAGGATAAAACGGGGAGGGAGGAACCATTCATACCACTTTAAACTCCCTGGAGGAAAGGTGGGATATAAATTGCAGGAAATGGCCGAAGTACAGAGATCTGGCCAGGGAGTAGATAGATCTGTGCAGCAGAGAGCACAGTTGGCAGTAAGTTCATTCCTGACTTGCCTTGAGGTCAAGGGTAGGAGCATTTTCATCCAAGTCTTTAGGCCTGTTCAGGGTGAACGCTTGAGGGCTTAGAGTGGAGAAGGGTGTGCAGGTAAGCCGGGCCCTCGGAGTTCCTGTTAACAAGAGACAGTTTCTAGAAAATAATGTTTTGACTTTATTGCATATGCGTACACAAAGGAACATAGCTATCGGCCACCAGCAACACATTGCAGACTGTGGACAAACACCTTTGTTTCTTTTTTTAGGGTGATTATGACTACAATTGTGTTACATCTCATGTATTAATATGTTCCTCTAGGGGTGGGTGGGAGGGAAGTTAATCTGTTCCTGTTCTGTATAATATCTGCAAATGACAAATAACCGGGTGTTTGTTTGTTTTTAAGTTTCTGTTAAGGCCAGTTTTGCTTCAAACCTGCCTATATTCAGCAGAAAGATCTGAAGGGGAATTCTGAGGCGACTCAGGCAACTGTGCTAGACTTCTTCCTGCGATCGGAAGTATTTGCGTTCCATGAGATTACAGATCACTGAATGATAATTACCATATTTCCTATGCTTTGAACCCACGCTTTCCCCAAAGAAATTGAAGCACCATTTTGGTTTCACAATAACCTTGTGGGGTGAATCAGGCTGAGAGATGGTGATGCTCACTGAGCTTCATAGCTGATTAGAAATCTGAATCTAGATTTCTACATATGTTGCTGGCCTATAACTGATGGGAATTTGAGTCCTAAATTAGATTGAGGGCCTCAGGCTGCTCACCCCTGTGACTTGCTTCTGCGCTGAAAGCTGTGAGTTCAAAAGTCATAGGTTAAAAGCATTCAGAAAGAAGCGTCATATTCCATTTGTGCCCACCACTCACCCAAAGAGTCAACAGTGTCGGTTTATTAATGTTATCAGTGTTCAGAATTTCCAAGCAACAAGTGCTACAGGTGCCTTACAAGTAACAGGAGAGCACACACAATTTATTTTGCAATAAACACGTTTTAAAGTCACTTGAAAATTATGCAAGGCAGCCCATATAAAAAGCAGTCCTTTTCACAGCAGTTTACTCATAGGTATTTTGAAAATAGAGGTTTTGTGTTGTGTCCCGAAACAAACGAACAAAAACACAAATCAAGTTTGGTCTGGAGCAAATGGTGCACCTCAGAGTAGGAGCTTCAACAGAAAAGGCCCTGCCATATCCTCCCACATACTTCCCTTCTGACTTGAAAAGTATGATGATCAAAGCACGAGGGCAAGCATTGTGATCTTGTCCCATTTCCTGTTCCTGGTGTTTGCAGTCCTGTAGTGTAGTGTTCACTTAGGAGTACAGGAAGTGATCTGGGGAAAGGGTTTCCTTTGGGACCTTCCCGCATGCTTCACTGGAAATCATATGTGAAGACTTTCCAGTTCATGCTGGTCCTGTGATAAGCTGCTAGGTGATCAGAAATAGGACTTGTTTAATCTGTGGTGCCCCAGTTATTGGGATTCCTTCCCCAAAAGAAGCAGGCTTGTGGTTGGTTTTTAGATGCCAGTGCCAGGCAATTAGACGCCAGGCAAACTCTTAGTCTCCCTGTCTTTTTAACTATACACACCCGTTTTTTCTTGTGTAGCTCAGCTGTTGCCTTTCAGTGCTTCTCGTATTTCCATTTGTCTTATTATATTTGTATTGTTGCTTCTAAGTATATGAAGAACCTTTCTGTTTCCTTGGTGTTTTCTGACGGTTAATATCAACAGCCAGAAAATACCAAGGGAACACAAAAAGCTCCTTTATATGGAATTGTGGAGGGTTTCCTTCCCATTCCGGTTGCTGTAGTTGTTGAAATGTTGTGTGCTACTCCAGAGTGGTATTTTTGTTTTGCAGGTATAATCTGTGACATGTCACGGACACAATAATAGTGCATTAGTGGTGGACTTACACTGGGCTGCCCATACATCATTCTGGTTTTTTTTAAGATGCTTCCCCAGTACATTGGGGAAGCACACAGTTAAACTATGGAATTCATTCCCACTAGAGGCAGTGATGGTCACCAACTTGGATGGCTTCTGAAGAGGATTAGACAAAGGCTATCAGTGACTACAATCCACAATGGATGTACTTTGCCTTCATGGTCTGAGGCAGTATGTTTCTGAATACCAGGTGCTGGGCATCACAGGTGGGCAGAGTGCTTTCAGGCTTCCCACAAGCATCTGATTGGCCACAGTGAGAACAGGACGCTGGACTAAGGTGGGCCACTGGCCTGATCCTGCTGGCTCTTCTTATGTTCTCATGCATTGCCATCTGGGAGGGCGAAGGTGGGACAATACTGGGACATTTGTGGCATAAAAAGTTGCAGTATTTCAGTAGGAGGCTTCGGGAAATGAAGTTTTGTGTCAGGGACTGGTTGGATGCAGAGGAATGATGGAAGGAACCAGCTGGGGAATCGCCAAGGGAAGAAGGCTTGGAGCCCAGGGACTGGTGGTGGGACCTCAATTGAGTGGTCAGAGGGAGAAGACTGGGAAGAGGTGGTGCTGGAAGCTGAAGAGGTAGCAGGGCTTAGTGAGCTGGGAGAGTCTGTGGCAGAGAGAAGTCCAGAATAAGAGGCAGAAGCTGAAGCAGGCGAGTGGGATTTTCATGGAGGAAGAACTCTGAGAATGAGCTGCTCTGCTGATTAGGCCTGTGGAAATTGTCTTCTTGCTAATGAAGAGTTAACTCCATCTTTGAGCTGTGTGATTACTGACCAGTAGGCCCATTTATAAGCCTAAGTTAATCATGTTTAATTACTTCAAAGGGTCTACTCTGAGTTGTACTGGCATTGGATACAACCCTATCTCTCCCCTTGCCCCCCAAAATAAAACCTTTTGCAGGTGCAAACAGTATTGAGAGCACAAATCTCATGGCTGCCCAATTTAAAGGATATCTGGAGGGGATCTCTGGACATTTTTAACAGCTGCTTTTCATGCTTTTATGCATTTTATGAAGCGCTTTTAGATGCATACATAATAAATGGAAACCAGTATATATATGTATTTCTAATTAATAAATAAATACCTTGTTAAGAAGAGTGGAATAAATAAATCGGAATGCTCTCATTTCCAAAAGTCAAGGCCCTCTGGAACTGCTCTAATTTGACTTATATCTGCTCTTGAGATCCTCTTGTACCACCGAGGTCAGTGGTAGCAGAAACGTTTTATCCAGAGGCGGGAGAGTTCTGCTACTGGTGAAGTTTAGGCCTTGTGAATTTTTGATGCAATGACTTTAACCGGAGTGGAGAGATAGGGAATGTGTTTTGTCAACCCCAGCTGTCAAAATGCATTTGTGAAATTTAGATAATCATTACCGGAGGATAATGGCTGCTAATCATAGTTTACCGGTCCAATTCTTCTGGGCTGTGGCACGGTATGATTTGATTTTTATCTGTATTTCTGGAGCATACGCCGAAACTGGTGTAGAGGAAATGCATGCATACAAAAGGGTAGGCTTTTGATTGGTTCTTCTAGGGTGTAGTTATGCAAATCGTTATTTGCAGCTGAACAGAGCTGTGCCTTTTCAGTTGACCAGTGGGGCTGCATCTCACATAATGATGGCTGCTTCTGCAACAAGCAGCTTGGTGCCTTGCCAAACCCTGCCCATCCTTTCCAGGAAAGCTGATTGGGCTTTTTTATGTGCATGCCAAAGAGATGGGTTCAGGGTTGCAGTAGGTACATTTGTCTCTGTGCCTTGTGTCTACAGCTATCAACCTGTGAGTGAAAGAGAGTTTCATGCAAATATGATCCCCATGCCAGTGAACAGGCAATTCAGGTTTGTTAATTATTTGGCGGCATGGATATTTATGAGAAGCGTAGCATTGGCTATAGAGACAGTGGGGCAGCAAAACTGCTATTTAAACAGGGTGACTTTAACATTTTACAGGTTCTCTTTATAGTTTTGCAGGAGGAAGTTCTAAAATGAAATTAAGGCCTAACTAGATGTGAGTTGCAGTCTTTCCCTGTGACTTTATTTACTTATTTACTTAAGCAAAAGTAGCCAAGGGAGGTTATAAAAGGGGGTGGGGAGATGGGGCAAATTCAATCCTTTCCTCTACTTCTGCCCCACCATGGGGGGGAGATTGATGTAAAGTTGTTATTGCACTTCTCATCACAACTGTGGGTGCTCCTAACTTTAGTAAAGCAAAGATTCCGATCAGATCGTAATATCTAAATATCTTTACCTTGTAGTGAACTGGGATTTCCTCCAATATATTTTCAGTTTCTAGCAGGATTCCAAGCAAAAGGTGGACACCCCTTTTCCAGGATGTTTCCATTCACTTGGCTATGGACTCTCACTATTCATTTCATAGATTTCTAGGATTAGAGCAGGATAGAAGATAATCAAACCAGCCAGCTGCCCTACGGCCAAATCATCCATTGCTCAGCAACACCAGCCCCAAGTAACACACACAGCAAATTGTGGAAAGCAGAGAGTAGGAACAAGCTATTAAATTTTACAAAAGGGGATGGCAGGTGTACCTAGTCATCCACAATACAGGCAACAAATTTCCTGCAGGAGAATTTTGATTCCAAATTTGATAATTCAGACAATGGGTGCCTCTTTTCTTACAATCTCTGCAGTTGCTAGTACATGATGGGGGAGGAGTTGGGGGGCAAGGTAGTCAGTGATGTTTAAAGCGCCACTCCTGGATATAGTCATGGTTTTAACATTTGTAGCTTGGACGATTTGTTGTTGTTACTTTTGTAGGCCTCGTAATCACCACAGCAGTGTTATCAGCTAGGACAAACAGCCGCAGTGGCTTAAGGAAAGAGATTGGGTTTATATAACTAACAATCACTACTGAGGTTTTTTCTCTTTCCATATTAGCATCCCAAGTCTGTGATAACTCAGATTCTGGTCATCCCCTGTGAATGGTTCAGTATGGTACAGTAGGCAATTGGCTCTGCTTGGTGGACCTCAAGATGCTAGTAAAAAACAAAGTGGTCCACACCTGGTGTAGATAACACTGAGCTGGATGGTTCAATGGTCTGTTTTGGTATAAGGCAGCTTGCATTGTGTTGCTAAACACCACCAATGCACCTTATTCTCCCCATATGATTCCCCCCCTTGCCATAATCATTTTTCCCTGTCATTTGATTCATAATACCAAGCTATTCTGGGCATATTTTAATGGACACATTTATTTTTCTCTTGTTTAGGCACACCATGAAAGAACACTGAAAAAGCTTCTGGATGTGAATGGACAAGCACTGGTACCTTCTTATGACTACGACCTGATAGTTATTGGAGGGGGCTCAGGTGGACTTGCAGCTTCCAAGGTATGATAAGTAGAAGTGTGGTCATGAAAGCAATCTAGCCAACCAGAGCTTGGTCCTAGTCCAAGAATGGATCCACTCTGTCTAAGCTGTAGGAGTGAGATCCCAGTGTCAGAAAAAGATTTTGCAATCCATTCTGTCCATATGCAAAATGGCTTTGTGCAGATACGCTTCTCTGTGCAGACTCTAACATTAGTGTTGCAAAAGGATTGATGACAAATCCAGCTCCTTCCTCCTCTAGAGGCTTTTTGGATTTGCAAGGCAAATTCTAGCCTGGGAACACCACTGATCTGTTTTAGATCCACCTTCTGGAATGGACCTGGAACCCCCTTTTTCTGGAAACATTTCTACTCTGACTAAAGACCAGGTTTTCCACCTGGAGTCCACCCATTCTATATTGTTGCTCTTGATAATTGGGTAGAGACTGTATCCCAGAATGGTGTAACAGTCAGTCCCTCTTCCCAGGGAATTCTGGGAATTGTACCTCTGTGAGGGGAATAAGGCTCTCCTAACAACTCTTGGCACCCATAACAAACTACAATTTCCAGTAGTCTTTGGAGGAAGCCATGACTGTTTAAAGTGGTATGATACTGCTTTAAATGTATAGTGCAGATGGGGCCTCTATCTCCTTCCTCTTTTCTCTTCTTTGCTTCCTTTGATCATCATCCCCAGGAATAATTAGACGGTGTTTATGCATCTTGGTCCTCCAAGAAGATGCTCCTGCCATTCTAGAGCTCTGATATACCTGGTGTGGTCAATGGCTTAAAAAACAGGCTGGTGATTAATTACACTGAAGTGTGAGTGCCTTATTTAAATTGTCGGGCTTTGCTCCTTTTGCAGACAAATGATGGTTCTGCAGTACAAGTATGTAATGTACTGATGAGTAGTGCCTGCCATCTATAATAGGCTATGCTTAATCACCAGCTTGAGCACTAGAGTTCTTGATGCAAGCCTAATGAATTTGGGAAAAGGAGAAGACAACAGCGGACAAGAAAAGGCCGCCGATTTAGGGAGAAAGCAAGCAAATGTTTCATACCCATGTCAGCAAAGTAGTTAGTATGCTTTTTCTAGTTCCTACTGTGAGTTGAATGATAAAGCTGTATCACTAGAGAGAGAATTATAGGAATGTGAGAATCTGCCTGATATTGACCATCTAGCTTTACATTTTCTACGTCTGGCAGTAGGATTTCAGACATGAGTCTTTTCCCAGAATCACAGATGACGGATTAAAACTGGCAACACTCAGGGAGGAAAGAAGTGGGAGAGCATTTCAGTGTCCCTGAACGCTCTGTACCACATTTGAAGGCTTTCAAACTTGGGGAAGCTTCCTAATGAAGTTGAGTTAGAATTCATTTGCAGCTTTGACAGTATCAGTCAGAGTTGGTTGGGATCAGTTTGGCTTTTGCAGGCCTGGGCCAGCTCACTTACAGAAAGCAATTGTCTCCCTTTTGGTGTTTATATTTTATCAATTGGTTATCGGTAGGGAGTGGGTGTCACACACCCTTTCTGATCAGATCTTCTATTATTCGGATCTTGCATTTGCGTTCTGTACAGTGAAACGGCAACACCCTTCTGTTGCAGTAGGGAGCCTCCTGACTTCACTTTGTAGTAGCATTCCCCTGTGCTTGCCGCCGCTTCCTGCTGAGCCGGTGTGGTGTAATGGTTAAGAGCAGTGGACTCGTAATCTGGTGAATCGGGTTTGCTTCCCTGCTCCTTCACTTGCAGCTGCTGGGTGACCTTGGGCCAGTCACACTTCTTTGAAGTCTCTCAGCCCCACTCACCTCACAGAGTGTTTGTTGTGGGAGAGGAAGGGAAAGGAGAATGTTAGCCACTTTGAGACTCCTTAGGGGGAGTGAAAGGCGGGATATCAAGTCCAAACTCCTCCTCTTCTAGTTCTTCTTCTTCTGTGCACAACTGAGCATAATCCTTCATGCACCTGACAAAGCAGTGCTCTGTCTCGGAAGAGTTTATGCTACAATAAATTTGTTAGTGCTGCGGCAACTCAAATGGCCACCCTTTTGGCATTTGGAACCCCTGACACACCCCAGCCTCTTTTCAGCAGGGGATCCCACCCCCCTGGCGTTTGGCTGCAGCAGCCATGACTGGGAGATGAGTTGTGCTGGCTCTAGATGCAAAGGCCCATGTGGTGGGCCTGCTCCTGCGTCTGGGTGCCTCCTGCTGGGCTTATGTGGTGGTGGTCAGTGGCAGCAGCAGTGCTGCTGTCTGTACCAACTTGATGAGAGCCACCCGCCATCTTAGTTTCCCACAATTCTCTGAGCAGGGCTATGTTGGGGCCATATCAGAAGAATAAAATGGCCAACAGTTGACATCCCCTGTGGTAAGTGACTTGGCTGCCCAGGGGAGACAGTGGTAGTGGACCCTGCCATGGAGCTGGTGTCCTGGTAGCTGCTCATGAATGCTGGTGGGTGTTAGATTTGCCACTTCGATACACCCAGCCAGAATTGGAAGTTCAAAGCCAAAATACACCTTGTACTGTTGATACTTTTTTAAAAAGCATGTTTTTTAAAAAGCATGTTAGCCGCTTTGCTTTTTCTTCAAACTAAAGCTGTGGGAACCTGGCAATGAAGGTGTTCAGTCTGCATTGGTGCCTAGGGCCAGTTTTCTGTCCCAGAATCCTGCCCCGCACAACTATTTCCCCTTTTAGGCACAAATTGTACTCCAGGGAGGGGTGGTGTTGAGGGTTCATTGAGCAACTGTTTCCCAATCCAGGAACACATTCTAGATCAGAGCCCAGGAGCCAGCTAAAGCATGCTTTAAGAAAAGTGTGAATAATGTAACATGTGATTTGGCCCATACTCAGTTCTGCGGTGCAGCCAGGGTCTGGGGACTCATCCTTGCGTTTAGTGTATTCACCCATAATGATCTGCTTTGGAATGCTTAAGATGCAGGCCATGGCTGGGGGCGAAGGCCGGGTTCACATGCCAGCAACACTTGACAAACGCATCACTTCTTGCATGGCAATAAAGCTAATTTTAGGAAGGATCATAATTTAAAATGCCCTGTGATCCAGAAGTCTTGAGGGCCATCCACGTAATGGGATCCAACCCATCATTTGACCGAGTTGTGGGAATTTGAGCAGCCAAATTATCTTTCAGCATTTAATTAAAGTTTGTGTTGTTACATTCACCCTTCCCTTCCTCCTTTTGCGCCTGTGGCATTCAGCTAAGTGGTGTTTTTCTCATGACTGTAGTAATTGTCGTGAAAAATCCAATCTTGCCTTTCCGTCATGAAAGATGGCAGGATTGAAGGAAGTTGTCCTAGAAAGCCCCTCCCAAGAATGTGCTAAAAGACTTCAGGCAAATTCAAAATGTGTTGGACCATTTGTTTTTTCCGGTTATAACAGGACGTTTGATTGCCACATCAATTTGTAACCCACTTGGGAAGAAAGATTGCTCTTTGTGAACACTAGATATTGATCCCCCAAATTCATAATAAAGCAGTTATTTTTATTTTTTTTACAACTTGGCCACCATTACTTAGAGTGCAGATTTTCAGCTGTGGTTGTTTTTTTGTTTGATTTCCAGGAAGCTGCCAAACTTGGCAAGAAGGTCTTAGTTCTGGATTTTGTTGTCCCTACTCCTTTGGGAACAAGATGGGGTAAGTAAATGGTTCTCAGCCTTCACTACTTTAGGGAAACTCGTGTGGCATAGTTCTTGGAGTGTTTGACTAGGACCTGGGAGACCAGGGTTCAAATCCCCACTCAGCCCTGAAGCTCACTGTGTGACCTTGAGCAAGTCACCTACCTCACAGGGTGGTTGTGAGCATAAAATAAGGGAAGGGGATAAGTGTGTACGCCACCTTGGAGGAAAGATGGTATAGGACTCTAATAACAGTGATAATTACTATTGTATTATTATAAAGACATCCATTCAAAGCTGGCATTTTCTTCCAATCTTGGACACCCTAGTACATGTTGCATTGTTTCTCCCCTGTCCTAACCCTTGAATATGATTGCCTAGAGAAGCAAGGCACATAACATATAAAGTACTACTTCGTACAGTGCACAAGTCAGCTTTTCGCCCTTCAATATATATTAATATATGGTTAATATATATGGTTGCCCTTTGTAGCTATTTGCTGATTTGATATTTTGATGGCTAAAGACTGAAATAGAAATGTTTAGTTTTGGCAGCAGTACCATTTTTACTGCTGAGATTCTACCCAGGGAAGACAAATGCCTTGCAGGACCCATCTTACTAAAATAAAATAAAAAATCAATGCATAGGATCACAGTTTCCCTGCAGCTAGCATGCTCACTTGGGGAAGTGACATTTGGATCTTGTTGCAGCAGCTACAGAGTCCTTTGCCTTCCATTTTCTTTGTCTGAAAATGATGAGGACGCTTCATCCGCTGCCTAGTGCAGCCCTGCCTTTTGTGGAATGAATGTTGGAAGTTGCCTTATACTGAGTTAGACCATTGGTCCAGTTAGGTCAGCCTTGTCTACACTGACAGGCAGTGGCTCTCCAGGCTTTCAGGATTGAACCTGGCAACCTTCTCCATGCAAAGCAGACGATCTCCTCATGAGACATGTCTCTTTCCTATCTTGCTGGAGTTTCGGGGCAACAGGGATCATCCATGTATTTCCCTTCAGCCAGAGTGTCCTTGGCTGCTGAGTCTGAAGGGTGAGGGAAGACAAAATTGGGCCCAGTTTTCCCCTGAAAAATTGGGCGGCCTTGTTGCACCAGTCACATAGGCTTCAAACTGCTTTGCTTGTCCCTGGCTTCCATATCTGCCTCCCCGCCACCCCCGATATATACACTGCAGAAATAAAAGTCCAGATCAATAATGTTTTTCCAGTTGCCCTGGGGAAGGCAGGACTCTGATTGCTGTTACAGAGGAAGGACTGGATGCTCTGACAGAATGGGCCAACTTCCCTGTTTAAAGGCCTTCAAGAAGCAGTCTGACTACAGCCAATGACCTACGGACCAATAGTTATACAGCTGGTCAATTTGAATGCCATACTGGATGACTGGGTGGTCCTGTCATAATGAGTTGCCGTATGAAGCTCATCAGGTTGCCTTTCTTTTGCAGGTCTCGGAGGAACCTGTGTCAATGTAGGATGCATTCCAAAGAAGCTGATGCACCAGACGGCTTTGCTTGGGCAAGCCATAAAGGATGCACCCAAGTTTGGGTGGCAGCTGGATGACAAAGGTATAGACAGAGAATCCCATGTTGTCTGTTGGGTGTGTAATCTGTGCTGCTCTTAGGAAGTTTAACCTGAGTGGAGGGTGTAGAGAGACCATTGGTGGGGAACAGGAGTCAAAGGGATGGAGGTCTTCTTTGTACAAACAAACACACACACACACTCCGAAATTTATACACTGTTTGGGCATTCCCAGATAGCCTTCCCCCAACCTGGTGCCTTACAGATTTATTTTTTATAAATACTGTACTACAATTCTCTCAATCCCTGGCCATAAGCCACATTCACTGTGGCTGAAAGGTGCTGTAGTTAAAACTAGGTTGAGGAAGGCTGTTCTAGGAGTTTTTATTGTGTTTACATATTTTATCTGCCTAAAAGCTGGAGACACCAAGTGGAGTATCAGAAGACTGATCAGATGTTCATATTAGCAGTGATAATAGCAAAGCAAACGTGAGTTCTGCGTGTATAAGACCTTCCTTTCTAAAGGATAATTTCAGAGCATTATGCAGCAGCACCTGCAAAATACGCTGGACCACACTCACCCACATTGTTAATCCGTGCAGTGTCGGCAAAACTCCACAAACCTTGGGGAATTGAATTAATTATAAATAGGAGAGACACAGCCGTGCATCAGGTGTGTCTGTTATTGCATAGCATGCTAATGGAAAATGAAAGCCTTGGGAAGCTGAGGACTGAACTGTCATCTAACTTTTGTTTTGTTTTGTTTTTAAATCCTCAGCCATAAATCACAGCTGGGATACCATGACTGAAGCAGTTCAGAATTATATTGGCTCTCTGAACTGGGGCTACAGGGTTTCTCTCCGGGAGAATAAAGTCACATACGAAAACGCTTATGGAGAGTTTGTCGGGCCGCACAAAATTAAGGTAATGGAAATGGCCGCCTTTATCCTTCTTTTCCTGGGGAAGGTTGGGTGGTCTGCTTCAAATGAAGAAATCCCGCTAGATCTGGCTGCTAGCCCAGAGCATTTGGCATCCAGCAACATCCTCCTCTGGCTTCATGGAATGAGAGCTCACAGCCACAGGCTTTTACAGCTAAAAATTGCTGGCATTTTTATTTACAGGCAACAAATAACAAAGGAGTGCAGAAGTTTTACACAGCAGAAAGATTTCTGATTGCCACTGGAGAGAGGCCCCGTTATCTGGGCATCCCTGGAGATGAAGAATATTGCATCACCAGGTGAGATAACCCATTAAAATGTGTCTTATTGTATGTCCTGGGGGAAGTGCCCGCTGTCACTCAAAGTAAGTGTCAGGTGTTATGAGTGAAGTGATTCTGGGTTGATTCAAACATACAGAGTTTTGAAGTGGCATAGTATCAGTTTTCACATATGTGTTGCTTGCTTAAAAGCACTTTTGTGTCAGAACAGCTAGCCACTTAAAACTCGTATCTCCTTTCCTCCTTGGACAAAATATCAATTTTCAGGTGACGAGCCATTCTTGCTTTGGTTTCGATTTCTTGGCATGTGTAAGATCTACGGTGACAGGAGGGCTTGTTTGCATAGCAAATGCCTCTTCTCCACTTCCTTCTCTGTGGAAAATATACAGCCAGTCAAAAGAGATTTGAGCTTCTTCATATGTAACTCTTAAGACTGGAGGCAGGAAAGGCTTGGTATGAGACATAGCCCTGGACTTTCTGGTTCCTGATGTGAAATCTTCCATTTGCAGAGCAGAATGTGCAGAAAGGAAGTCAGTCTGTACCACTTTTGTGGTCTTCCTTGTTTACTATGTAGGCTATGTAGGTTACTATGTAGTAAACTATGCATTAATTTCATCACCAGCTCATAAACTGGTTGATTTGTGACCACTTGCTTTAGATAATGCTCTGAGATTCTTTACATTTTCCTTGAAAATTATATTATTATTATTATTATTTCTGTGCTCTGACTTCATCTTCCAGTTAGTTTGCTGCCTGATATATCTCCTGCCTTCTGGGGTGCAAAGCAATGTGTAAAATTTTATGAACCACAAAAGTAGAGATAAAACATAATGGAATAAGCCATTCCCCCTTCTTTAATTTGAACAGTGTCAGTTGTGTACATCTCAGCTGTATGGATTTCCCTTGTATTTTTGACTCGGCTATTCATTCCTATTATTGTTATTATTATCCCAGTGATGATCTCTTCTCCTTGCATTACTGCCCGGGGAAAACATTGGTGGTCGGAGCGTCCTACGTCGCCCTTGAGTGTGCAGGATTCCTTGCAGGCCTCGGCTTAGATGTGACTGTCATGGTGCGGTCCATTCTCCTGAGGGGCTTTGATCAGGAGATGGCAAACAAAATAGGGGAACACATGGAAGAACATGGTGTCAAGTTCATTCGGAAGCATGTGCCTAGCCAGGTAAGAAGGGTGGAGGGATAGCACTTGTCCTTATTACTACATTATTGGATGAGCATTTTAGGTATTTTGCATTAGACATTGCTTTAAATATTCTGGCTTTATAGTTATTGTCTGTTGCATTTTGTCATGTAAGCTGCTTTGAGACTTTTTGAGGGTAAAAAGCAATTATAACAAATGTTAATAATAAATGCGGCCCCCACCCATTCAATAAACACGTAATTTTAAAATGTGCTTTAATACAAACATGTTCAAAGAAATCCAGGTTGTTTTATGACTTCAGAAGCGCCTATATATATTGGCACACAGGGTCCTCTAGCCCAGTATTTGCTGCATTTATGTGGCAGTTCTTCAGCGTCTCGGACTTCTGCATCACCTGCTATCTGATCCTTTGAACTGGAGAGTAAGCTTAGGGTCTTCTGCCACTGAGCATGTGTGTGATTCATTGCTGTGATGTTCTGTTTCGGCTCCCGAACGCCGCAAACCTGGAAGTGAGTGTTCCGGTTTGCGAATGTTCTTCGGAACCCGAACGTTGGACGGGGTTTCCGATTGGCTGCAGGAGATTCCTGCAGCCAATCGGAAGCCATGCCTTGGTTTTCAAATGTTTGGGGAAGTTGAACGGACTTCTGGAACAGATTCCGTTCGACTTCCGAGGTACGACTATATTAGGTTGCTATCTCACTGACGTTTGTGAGGGCCTTCCACGTTTATAGTGCAATAGCTGTTGGTTTTTCGGATTTTTTGGCACGCTGCGCAGGATGTTGTCAGGCTTGGAGGTATTCTTAGAAGTTGGCCTCTGGCCCTCCTGTTTTGACCCCTTTGCCATCAAAACAGATGGCTCTTCGGTGCAGAATTTTGTCTGGAGGGCCTAAAACATCTACTTCATGGGGAGTTTTCCCCTTGAACCTATCTGGAGTTTGACACTCCCATTTAAAATTATCATCATTATTTATCTGTTATCACTACAATTACAGTTATGCCCCACCTTTCCTTCAAGGGGGACATACATGCTTCTTCCCACTTCCTATTTTGCCTTCACAACAACCCTGTGAGGTAGGTTGAGCTGAGTGACGGGTGCAAGGACACCTACTGAGTATCAAAGCTGAGTGGTGATTTGAACCCCAGTCTCCCAGCTCCCTGTTCTATACTCTAACCACTGCAACACATATCCCCCCCATCTGTTTTAAATTCATTTTTCTTTCTTCAGTACAAACATCAAAAGATGTACACACACATGTCCCCCCCTTGCAACAGCACAAAAAGCATGAATTACATTTCTTCCCCATGCTAATAATAGCACCAGCAGTTAGTTGTTTCTCTCTGACTCCCTCTGAAATGCGTGCAATTTGTGCATTATCAATATTTTCATGCCGCTCAATAGCAAAACTCTGAGCTGCTTACTGTAATTTAGCCATACATGATGGAAACAAAAAATATAAATAATGCAGCATAAAAGCTCCAGCAGCCAAGAAATAAGATCAGCACAACAAAATTCTCGAGCAGCACCAGAAAATATTTTAAAGATGTTTAAAAACATTTGGAAAAGCCATTCCATTCTGCCAGAAGGTGCAGCAAAAGAATGTTTTTTTTTAAAAGTTAAATTTTTTTGCTTCAGTCAGATACACTTACCTAAGAAATAGCCCCATTGAACTCAGTGTGGTTACTTGTGAGTAGGCATGCATGAGATTCCATTGCTAAAAGATGACTTGTGCCATCTGTGTTCTTGCAATTGTGAGGGAGTTCTCACGGAGGATGTGTGTGTGAGAGAGGAAAAGAAATTGTTAGCATGTATTTCCTTTAATGATTAATTAGTAATTATTTTCCTATAGCAGATAATTGTTTTTCTATTCTGTGGGGCATTAGGATAGGCTTTCAGCTTTTCAAAGACAAGAAAATTAAATGCAACAAATTTCCTCTGTGCTTCCTCTTAAGCACACCAGATAGTAAAACACACAACAACAACAACAACAACAACAACAACAACAACAACAACAACTACTACTACTACTACTACTACTTAAAAACACTATCTGGTCATCTTTTGCTGAGCAAACATACCCTCCCTTAAAAAAGATAAGAGAGCAAGCTGAAAACCAAAGAGAACGTGAATGCTTCTTTTTTGTGTGCGTAAATTATATCCATTGCTTGGGTTGAGAAAGTAGAAGATTGGCTATATTTAAGCAGCATATAAAGGTAAAGAGATCCCTGACCGTTAAGTCCAGACCGTTAACTCAGGGGTTGCGGCGCTTGTCTCGCTTTACTGGTCGAGGGAGCCGGCGTTCATCCACAGACAGCTTCTGGGTCATGTGGCCAGCATGACTAAGCCGCTTCTGGCGAACCAGAGCAGTGCACGGAAACACCGTTTACCTTCCCACTGGAGTGGTACCTATTTATCTACTTGCACTTTGACGTGTTTTCGAACTGTTAGGTTGGCAGGAGCTGGGACCGAACAATGGGAGCTCACCCCGTTGCAGGGATTCGAACCGCCAACCTTCTGATCGGCAAGCCCTAGGCTCTGTGGTTTAGACCATAGCGCCACCCATGTATAGCCCCACCCTTTTATTGTCCTTTCTGCAGTGAGGTGCAGTATGTTTCTGGAATGGGATAGATGTGCTCAGATCCTGAAAGAAATGAAGGAATAGCCAGTTTGCATGTCTGCGTGTTGTTTGCAGAGCAGGTTGAGTTCTGAAGTAGGAAGCCAGTGCAGTTCTGTGTCAAACTATATTTGCTATATTTAATGTTATCTGGATCACAGCATATGGGGAAGGGAGGCTAATCCTCTCCCCCTCTATCTGCACCCCTCAGGAAAAAAACAACATCCAATCTCCCTCTGTGCTACAAGATGTCCACATATGCACTTGAAGGTAGCAGGCTAGCTTGGGGGGGGGGGGACATAGGACCAGCCTAGAGGCCCACACAACTCTTGCAGTGCCACATCACTGCTCCCCACCAGCCAGAATCTGTTACCTGAGGAGGTTGCTTCACTCTGCCTAATGGTAGGTCTGGCCCTGTAGTGTGAGCATAATCCTAGCCCTGTGTAGACTGTAGGAATCTGAACTACTTCAGAATTCCTGCAGAAGTAATCATGTGAGTTGACTCTGCATTTGCTGGATTTGGCAGTGGTTTTCCTTCTGTGGGGTTTTTTCTTCTTTTCAACATAGGTGATTTTGTGTGTGTGTTTGTGTTTGATGCCGGAAGTAAGATAACTCAGTAAGTGAACCTATGGCAGACAAAATGTTCTGTGAAATGGGCTCAGAAGCAGGAAGGGCTGCTCCACCTACCAACCAAGAAGGACACTTGTCCTGAATAGAGTGGCAGGAGAAAGGGCATTTGCCAACCAGCTTCTTGGCACAAAGCTATTGAAAGTGCAGGAACTCCTTTAGACCAAGGCTTGGCACTTGGAGGAAGTTAACTCTCTTTGACTGGAGGAAGTAAGCTACCTTGTGTACGCAAGGTGATGCTTCCATTTATTAACACCTTTTTAAATTTCCGCATTGTTCTGAGAAGTGAGCCCCCTTTGTCCTTTATTGCCTTTGAATGCTATGGTATGAATCAGCGATATAAGTGGCAGCAGCACTTTCACTGTTTTCATTTCCTTTGTTATAAAAGAACCACCATAGAGCTGTCATAAAAAGGACTTATTTATAAAGAGAAAGAGGTTGCGCGTCACTTAGAATTTTAACTGCTGCAGCAAAGAAGTTTATATTTTTCATAAGCCATAGGTATAGCCATTTATTTTCCCTGGATGGATGTTGGCAGATTGCATTGGAGATTGTGGTGTAAATGTAGGGCTAATTCTCCGAATCCTCTTGACTTCAGAGCTGCAATATCTTTTTTCAGTTGATTCATGATCACATTTAAGGTCACATGAGATGTGATGGGAGCAGCCATGTTTGTTAAATCATGGATCTTTCCCATTCACATATTAAATGCAGGTAGTGTGATTTTTAACACCGAAAGGGGAGGTCTAATTTTAACATCGCTGCTGTTGGTTATCTCAGGTTCTTTTCTATGAGCCTGGATCTGTAGGGGCAGGTAAAATGGAGAACGGTCTTGGCACCATTCAACCCACATGTCCTTTTGATAATAACATATCTACTTTCTACTTGATCGGGGCAGGCACATAAACAACAAACATGCCTGCCATCATGTTGATCAGATATAGATAAAGATATTTAGCATTCATGACATTCTCAACTGCATAAATGGTTCTTTAGCATGCGTGTCTACTTGTTAGGGTTTAAATCTTGTGTTAAATGTATGTATTGTTTCTGTGTTGTAGTTTTGCATAACTCACTTTGAGGCGGCCGTTTAAAAGGCGATTAATAAGTCACTGACTAGAATAATAATAAAATATGCACTAGCCTTTAGGTTAAATGGGAGTAGCTTAAAAGTCTGTTTCCTTCTTGTTAAATCTCTGGTTTTTGTTCAGGGGAAACAGGTCTAGTAAATAGGTAGGATCCATTCCAGAAATCTAGTGAACCTTCTTCAACAATTCCCTTTTATTTCAACAACATCCCGAATTAAAAATACACTTGTACTGGGTGCCTTCGTGGTTTGAACAAATGCATCTACTTCTTGACACACCGAGGTAATATTTTAATGCTCAAAATTCTGCAGATTGAACAGATCCAGGAAGGAACTCCCGGAATACTCAGAGTCACTTCTCACTCCACAGAAAACTCTTCTGAAATACTTCAAGGGGAATACAATACAGTAAGTAATTTGAGCTGGTCTTCTCTGTTGCAAATTTGGCTGTACGTTGAATGGCTTTGAGAGATTGTTTACGTGCTGAGTCAGATGCTCAGGTTTTCTCATCACATGAGCCACTAAAGCCACTTGGAAGTGCATGCTTGTGATTCTGTGGGGGAACACAGGTAGCTGTGAACTGGGCTGTACCTGGAGGGGTGTTTAGCTATTTACATGATTGCAGCTGCTGCAGAAGATGTTGGTACAGCTGTGGAATTAGCTGTTGATTGCGTCTAGGTACAGCTGGGTCCACACAGCCATTTTCCTATGGGATTGCAGTGCTGCAGCTTCTCATCCGTTGATGTTGCGCAAACCAGCCCTCCATGAACAATTTTCACAATGAAATTTGTAGCATGGGGTCCTGGATTCTGATTGATCTTCTGGTTGTTATCCTAATGCAGTAATTAATATACTTAAAAAAACTAAAGACACCTAAGTTTCCAGGAGCAGTGGAGGCTGGTTCATAAGTGAGAATGAAGCACTGCCCCAGTAGCCTCAGTCTGCCCTCGCTTGACCTCCCCTTCCTGTTTACTAGCCCAGAGACTGACATTGGTTATCGACTGTTGCTGCTTCTATAGGGCCTATAGAACTCAGCAGGGAGGAGGTTGGGGGCAAAAAGTATTAGTTACCACCACCTTCCATTGCCTCTGGTGCCACCTACTGCTGACCTCCCTGCCTTCTACTCAACCAGCTCCAATGGGCACCTGCTGTCACTGCCTGGGAGATATATGACTAACACAAACATTGACGTTCTGCAGGTGTTGCTGGCCATAGGGAGGGATGCTTGCACAAGAAAAATTGGCTTGGAGAAAGTTGGAGTGAAGATAAATGAAAAGTAAGGTTTAATCTCTTGACTGTCTAAGTACTGTGGGCATGTGGTTTTGGGTTTTTTTTTACAACATCAATTGGATTGACTTAAAGCATTTAATTTTTTTTTGGGGGGGGGGGGAGAGAGATAAATTTCCAATGCTGTTCTGTTGCAATAAGGAGAGCGCCGGTGCAGCATAATGGTTAGACTGTTGGACTATAACCTGGGGGAGCAGGGTTCGAATCCCCCCTCAGCCATGAAGCTCATTGGGGTGACCTTGGGCCAGTCACCATCTCCTAGCCTAACCTACCTCATAGTGTTGTTGTGAGGGTGAAATGGGGAGGAGGAGGAGGAGAACCATGTACACCACCTTGAACTCCTTGGAGGAAAAGGTATATAAATGTAATAAATAAATTAAACAAACAAATAAATAAGGAGGAATTCTACCCTCTATTTCTGATATACGTCTATATCTCATTACTGAACATGCAAAGAGGGTGGACTTTTGCAGTAATTGGAATGTTAATGATTAACAGCTCTGCAATCTAGGTTTCTGCATTAATTCGCTCTTGCCAGTTTCGTGGTCCAGTTTTTTTTTTTAACTATTCATGTCAGTTACCACTGTGAACTATACCCTTTGTACTGTGTACGCTTTCCAGTTTGGTTGCATAATGGGGCTCCGTTTGTGTGTGTGTGTGTGTGTGAGAGAGAGAGAACTCAGGAATATCTGCTTTGCATGCAGAAGGTCCTTGGTTCAATCCCTGCCGTCTCCCAGGTAGGGCTGGGAGAGACTCTTGTCTGAAACCCTGGAGTTGCTGCCACTGCCAGTCATTGCAGACAATATTGAGTGAGAGAGACCATTAGCCTGACTTTAGTATATGTTGGTTTCCTGTGCTCCTATGTTTTTAGCAGTTATGCAAAGGTGGGGAATGTGAAAAGGTGATGCTTCTCCTATCATAGCACTGCAATAAAAGGAAACGGGGGCTTTGCAAAATTCTCATTTCCATGCTGCTGTTAAAAGGCACTGAGGTCCTGGATCCCTAGTGATCTCTCCCTTTCCTACCTACTTTGACAATAATCCCTGCATTTTGTGGTCTGGCAGCCCACATTCTGCCTGAATTTATGTGTAAATGGCTATGTAATTTGAATCCATTCCCGTTTGGGTCCAAGCCTGTTCTCTGCGGACATGAAACATTGTTCTGAGGACACTGGGATAAGTCTGTGAGATGCAGCAGGTTTCGCCATCTGAATCACAAATCCTGCCACGGCCAAGATGAACACAGCATGGACTCTTGCCCTGGCATTGGAACAGTCTGAATTGTCCGAAGTTTGATTTGAAAGAAGGGATTCGCGACCTACAGGCCACTGAACCTCTCCTCTTTTCTCCCTCTCGTAGAACAGGAAAGATCCCTGTCAGTGAGGAGGAGCAAACTAACGTGCCTTATATCTATGCCATTGGAGATGTGTTGGAAGGCAAGCTGGAACTGACGCCAGTGGCAATCCATGCAGGGAGGCTGTTGGTACGGAGGCTTTATGGTGGCGCAAACACAAAGGTGAGCGAGAGGTTTATCATGCATTTTAAAGAAAACTAACCTCTCCCCACCCCACAGTCAGAATAATAATGCAAGCTGCCACCCCGTCTCCCCCCATGCACTCTTGTTTACATGATTGATAGTGCATTGGCCCAATGAGAGTCTGCGTTGTTATTCGTATGGGTTTTCTTAGTCTTACGGAATTTTTAAAAACCTGTTGCAGACAAATGTGTTTTCCTCGCTTCCAGGGCACGTTCACCCGCCATTAGCGGGGGCAGCAAAGGGGGAGCAGTGTTGTGCACCTGGTCTCCTGGCAGTGAGTGTTGCTGCTGCTTACTGGAGGGGGGAGGGAGGTGTGGGGAGCTCAGCTGATTGGCACCACTGCACCTGCACCATGCGCTGCCTTCCCCTCGCCTCCCTCCCCCTCCATCTCAGTAAAGCGGCAGCCCAGGTGAGCAGCACAGAAGCACCTTTTAAGCTCCACCTGCCTTTGCTGAAGCTACCCCAGTGTTTTGTTACTGATGCCGATGGAAGTGTGATACTCATACAAAAGCATCTTTTCCTTGACAGTGTGACTACGTGAATGTTCCCACCACGGTATTCACTCCTCTGGAATACGGCGCCTGTGGTTACTCGGAAGAAAAAGCCATAGAGACATTTGGGGTGGACAACATTGAGGTGAGCCTAACAAGCCTGTATAAAATATAGCATCAATATATTGTGTAACACAAGGCCGATCTTGTGCCCCTTTCTACTTCTAGATTGGTGTGTGTGTATGTATGTAGGACCATCATCTTGGATGCAGGTGGTGCTGTAGTCTAACCACTAAGCCTCTTGGGCTTGCCGATCAGAAGGTCGGCGGTTCGAATCCCCGCAATGGGGTGAGCTCCTGTTGCTCTGTCCCAGCTCCTGTCAACCTAGCAGTTCGAAAGCACGCCAGTGCAAGTAAAGAGGTACCGCTGCGGCGGGAAGGTAAACGACATTTCCGTGTGCTCTGGTTTCCATCACGGTGTCCCTTTGTGCCAGAAACAGTTTAGACATGCTGGCCACATGACCCAGAAAGCTGTCTGTGGATAAACGCCAGCTCCCTTGGCCTGAAAGCGAGATGAGCGCCGTAACCCCATAGTCGCCTTTGACCGCACTTAACTGTCCAGGGGTCCTTTACCTTTACCATCATCTAGTTCTTCTCAAGGTTGGCTACACAATCACATCATTCAGTTGCGTCACTTAGTCTGGTGCCAATAGCCATGAGCCTGTGCGGATGACAGGCCTGCGTCTTTATAAACATCTGTGTGCCTGTGTCCGGGAATGCATCAGAGTAACATCTGTAGCTCAGTGGTACAACATCTGCCTTGTATGCAGAAGAGCCCAGGTTCCGGTCCTCGCATCTCTAGGTAAGGCTGGGAAAGGCCTTTGCCTGACACCTTGAGGAATTTCTGCCACTCCTAAGCAGTTAGCACGGCTCCCAGTGCACCCAATGGTCTGACGTGATAAAAGGCCTCAATACCTGTGTTCAGTAAAAATATGGGGAAATGTTGATTCAAGTTACTCAAACTTAAATCTATTCGTAGAGGGAAATACCCGCAAAACACAGGTGTATGTATCAAAAGTTATATTGTGCTGTGTACAGTGTGGAGCTGCCCTAACAAAGCTTGCATATTTGGTCAGGTGCTTATTTTAGAAGCATCCCTGACATGCCCCTTTAGACTCCAGTGCCTTTTGTGACACCGTACCAGTCCCATCCCTCTTCTCACACCTGTTGGTATTTCTGCACCTAACACTATCCAGTAAGTAGCTGCTGCACAGGCTATTGTGTAAATTCAAACGTGCCTAAGAGCTGGCTGGAGGGAGCCATGTTTGAGCGCTGCTCCCCCATGTTTAATAAGCCTGGGAAGCAGATGCAAAGAATCAGTATGGACATACAGAAGCAAACTTATCAGTGCACCTCTTATTAAAATTTCTATACCACCCTTCATCAGAGGATCACAGGGCAGTTTACAATATAGAAACACAAAAATACATAACAAAGTAACAAACAAAACAATGCCTCTCTCACTTTAAAAGGCCGTAGATAGTTTAATTAGTCAGAGGCCTGTGAGAAGAAGAATAAAAATTTATTATTGACGCAACACAGAATCAAACTGCAGTTCAGGGAACAGGAAGGAGATGCATTTTGCTTATAATGCACTGAACGCTCCTGACATGAGACCCTACTTTGATGTGCATTTTCACCATTTGACAAGCATCTCGCTAGTCCAGGGGTTGTGAGTGTTCAGGGAGAGGTCCTATTCTGCCGCGGTTGACATTCATCAGCTGCCTTCTCAGTGCCAAGTGTCTCTGGCCAGTCCCTGAGAGGGGCAAAGGGCCACACCTGTACCAAACTGAGCTCCTCATGTCTCACTCCCCCCCCCACTCTAGAAGTAGCAACGATGTTTAGCCTTGCGAAGGTAGGTGAGCACCATTGCCCTGTCTGCGCTTCCCATTCCCTTGGACTGCTGTTGCATAATGCCTTTCAGAAGCTAAAAAAATCTCCACAAACACTTAAAATGTCTCCATTGCTTTCCCAGGTTTACCACAGTTACTTCTGGCCACTTGAATGGACGGTCCCAGCCCGGGACAACAACAGATGCTATGCAAAGGTCATCTGCAATATTCCTGATCAGGTAACCATAGCATGCCACTATTTTTCAGAATCATCAGCATTTTACAGGAGCAAGGAGGTTTCTTTTTTTTTAAAAAAAGTGTTGATTTTGTATGCGTTGTAATACATTACAATATAATTTCTGACAAAACGGTACTGGGAATGCTGACAGAATTGTTGTGTGAACTTCATGCATCTTAATTTGTGATGACACTTGGACTTGGGGATAAAGCTCTTCCCTTTCATTGCGGCAAACACGGGTGTTATCTTGAAAGCACTGGTTGTTTTTAAAAACACCCACAAATCCAACTCTTAAATTATAGTGCCTTTGTAACTGAATTAATAACACCTTGGCTAGATGTTAACACTCATTAAGTGGCAGTCCTCTTTTATCTTTGCTCAAGATAATATCTGGTTAATAGTTGTTGATGCCTTAGTTTTCGTGTTGTAATAATGGCTGGAGTCCAAAGGATTGCGGGGAAAGCAGATGCTTGTGTTCTTATTTCAAGCTGCTTTTGAAACTGAGGGATGCCTCACAAGCAATTTCTGACAGGCCAGAGGAGCATATTGGTTAAGGGGGGGGGGGAGAGTTCTTTTTTTTAATTAAAAAAAACAACCTCCTTTTTAGGCTCTAGATCCTAGCCATAGCCTTCATTTTGCTCATTTTAAACATGGGCTACAGTGAAAAACAAAAATGATATGTTTAGGCTTACGAGGTGAGGAACCTGTGGCTCTTAAGATGTTGCTGGACCACAACTCCCATCAGCCCTAGCCATACAGTCAGGACCTGCTGGGAGTTGGGAGTCCAGCAACAACTGGAGGGTTACTGGTCCATGATTTTGTTCATATGTGTCCATATCTAGTGTTGCTTTCAGAATGCAAAGCCAAGTACTCAGGGCTGGATTCAGTTAATGAGCCCTGTGCAAGGACTTCCACTAGCACATTGGGGCTCCTTTCCTCACAGTTGGCTTGGGGTAAAGTTGAGAGACCCCCCAGAGCAGCGTGTAGGGAAAGGAGAGGTGGGGGATCATTCCATCTGGCAAGCTGAAATGCTTGTGCTGGCAATTGCCATAGCGCTATGTAGAATCCCTTCCTCAGGCCCAACTGCTTGGGTTGAAAACTAGACAATAGATGCAGGCAGTACTAGAATTTCCCCTCCACACATTGCCATAAGCCGTATCCAAGCATTCAAAAAGAGCACATGAGGGTTTAAGCTGGGGAAGGAGAACTCATGTTGTTGGGTGTTTTCCCTTCACCCCTGGCCTTTCCTTTGCGCATCAGGAAGTTCTGAAGGGAGCTTGTAAAGTTGAGGTTCCTAATCATGAGGAGGCTCTTCTGGGAGGTTCAGGGATGAAGCAGGGACGTGCAGGGGCACAGGACGAGAGGGTTGCTGTCATGAGTGCACTCCACTCCCTAGTTTAAGTTTAGTGTTACAGATCTGAGCCTGAGGCTCTCACATGCCCTCTTCCCGCTCCTTTCTTGATTAGGCAGAATGGGCTGTGTACAAATTGGCAAACCGTGGCTTGCCTCGACCCCCAGGGAAGTCAGGCAGGAAGGACTGTGCTAGACTGAAGGTCCAGTCTGTCTTGATCACATAATACCAAACCATAGGTTGATGCTTCATCCAAACCAGTGGATTTCAGGCTGGTCAGATCTCGTTTATCCTTCACTGGAACCAAAGAGCCAAGTGGAAAAACCAAAATGGTAGGATTAAAGAGCAGGATGTCTCTGAGCAGATGCTTAGCCTAAGGATTTTTCAGTAGCAGAACTGAACAGAACTTGTTTCTTTCACAAAAATCCATTCCTTGGTCAAGCCAACTAATGCACATAGATCATGATCTAAGTCACCACATTGTAGTTTTGGCAGTCAAATGGCTTTTGCTGTAGAATATTTTAACAGCAGTGAAAAAAATAGCTGAAACCCCTGCTGTTCATGGGTCCCCCCCAAATTAAATTTATTTTCCAATAGATATGTGTTAAAGTGGAAAGTTAAAACAGAGCAAGCTACACACAAGTTTATTGTTGACATTTTTTGTATGCTCGAGCCTCTGGATTTATAACAGTTGGATTATAATGTGTCTCTTAAGACAGGTATGAAAATACAAAAAAAGGGGTTGAAACATACCGTATTTTTCGCCCCATAGGACGCACCTAGTTTTTTGGGGGGGAAATAAAGGGAAAAATTTTTTATTTCCCCCCCAGGTGCGCTGCGCTAATCCCGAAGCTTGGGGCGTGTGGAGCTCAGCGCGCCCCAAGCTTCTGGGTGCCGGCAAGGTCTCCGCTAGCCGTGGGAGAGCCGCGCGGCTCTCCCAGGGCTAGCGGACTGCTGCGCTAATCCCGAAGCTTGGGGCGTGCGGAGCTCAGCGCACCCCAAGCTTCTGGGTGCAGGCAAGCTCTCCGCTAGCCCTGGGAGAGCTGGGTCTCCAACGGCTAGCGGATAGCTTCCTGAAGCCTTGAGAGGGAGAGGGGTCAGTGCGCACCGACCCCCCTCGCTCTCCAGGCTTCAGTGAAAGCCTGCATTCGCCCCATAGGACGCACACACATTTCCCCTTCATTTTTGGAGGGGAAAAAGTGCGTCTTATAGGGCGAAAAATACGGTATTTAATGCCAGTTCTCTCAGGTATTGGACAGTCTGAAGAAAGTAATTGTTTCAGGCCACAGCGACTCAAGCTTTTGTTGTTCCTTTCTTCTGGGCATTCTGACAATTGATATCTCAAATGATAAAAGAGGGGTGTTCCTATATACTACAACTGCAGCAAGAATGCTGATTGCTAAAAACTGCAAGGGGGATAGGACACCAACGAAGGAAGAATGGCAAATCAAATTGTGCGAATATTTGAAATTAGCAAAAATGACAGAAGTAATTAGAAATCAGCCAAACCCAAAGGTTTAAAAAGGAGTGGGGCTGTTTTAAAGAGTACCTGGAAAAACATTGTTCTCAAACAAAATTTTGGATGTGTTTTGACTAAACTTTGCAAAGTAAATAACAGATAGCATATATTATGTAAGAGAAGTGAAATAAGGAAAACAACAGTTAAAAAGATAAGGAAGAAATAAGAAGCCACAATAAGGTGGAGGGAAGTCATGTGCGAAGAAATTTTGATTTATTTTGGTTTACATTTGTGTATAAGATAGGATATTTTGAAGAACGAATGGAACAGTGTATTCAATTAATCAATGTAAAAACTCAAAGAATATTTTTTTAATTTTTTTATAAGATAAAAAGAATATTTTTTAAAAAAGCTTTTCTTGTTCCCCTTATTCCTTAGGAGCGTGTGATTGGCTTCCATGTGCTTGGTCCAAATGCTGGAGAAATAACCCAAGGATTTGCAGCGGCCATAAAATGTGGAATAACAAAAGAACAGTTGGACAGCACGATAGGAATCCATCCAGTCTGTGCAGAGGTGAGAATGTGGCATTGGTTTACAAAAAGCTGCCTCCAGTGGCGTAGCGTGGGCGGTGCAGGGGGGGCCGGCCGCACCGGGCGCAACATCTGGGGGTTAGGGTTAGGGGGCGCAAATCCACGGGTTAGGGGGCGCAAATTACTTGCCTTGCCCCGGGTGCTGACAACCCACGCTACGCCACTGGCTGCCTCCTTTCCTAGGATTGCTGGAGTAATTTTGTTTTCAAGGCAACAGTTTTATGTACTCTTTCTGTATGAGCAGCTGCATTGAGATAGGAAGTACCATAGCTTTGTGGCAGGGCACAAGCGAAACAAACAAAAGGTCCCAGATTCAATCCCCAGCATCTTCAGGTAGGGCTGGAAAAGATTCCATTTCTAAAACCCTGGAGAGCTGCAACACTGAGCCAGAATCTGCCGTATATTTTAGAAAGTTGGTTGTCCCTTAGTTATCTTTGTTTAGGTACAATTGGATGCCATTTTGAATCAAGATGGTGGACCAGACCTTTCAAAAATGTACTGATTTTTGGCGGGTGGTTCTTGGAATTCCCAAACAACGCCAGGCACTCATAAACTGAATGGGTTGGAGTGGATTGGAAGGGCCACAATATCAGGTGCAAAAGCACAATTGAACCTTTTATGCCAGGGCAAGAACCGTTCAGCAGTGAGGCAAGGACTTTCCTTCAGAGCTCCAGCTTTAGAAATAACTTGCAGTATTTCCTTTCACATTTGTACACACTGACTTTTCTCTCTCATAACCCGCTGTATCTAAAAATCTAAAAACAACACAATGGGGAGAGAGAGCTACAAAATGTGCAGAGGAAGCTGTTCTAATATATCACTATAATCATCGTCATAATACGTTGAGCAAGCCACAAAAATTAAAGGACGAAAGGTTTCACGAAAATGATTGCAGTTTCTATTAAAATAATAATAATAGGAGCATAGGAAGCTGCTTTGTGCAGAGTCAGACTGCTGGCCCATCTAGTGCATTATTGTCTGCACTGGCCAGGGGCAGAGTTTCTGGCAGCCTTCTCTCCCACGCCTGCCTGGCGATGTAGGGGATGGAGACTGGAGACTTGTGCATGCAAAGCACATAGCCTACCACTAAGCTATGGCCCATTCAACAACAGCAATAATAATAATAATAATTAATAATACAAATAATGGAATTTTAAAAACTGGTTGAGTTTGGATTTTTTTTCTGTTTCAAAGGGTGGATGCATTCATGATTCTCCTTGCATACAGAGCATTTTCAGCCGGCTGAACATTGAGATCCTTGCTTTTTTTCTGCAGGAGCTTCAGGCTTATTTGCATGGCCAACATGTACAGGCGCTCTGTTCTGCTCTCAATTTATTCCCCCTTAGAGATGACTTTGATGCTAGCTAATTACTGTTGCTTTGAACCATTTAGACTGGAGTGGATTTGATTTCCTGTAATCCTCCTACCTAGACTTATATGTCTGCAAAACAAAGCTAGCAGTTGTCTGATAAACCTCAACTAAAGGCAGCTTACCACGTTTCCTGTAATTTGCTTTTCGATTTGCTCTCTAAACTAGGAGCTAAAACTCATCCGAAGGGCAAAAGTCCTAAGATGGCACCTGTGAAGGCCGTTAGTAGCCAGCAAAGAGCTGCCATGACTCAGACCATGGAGGAAGTCTGGGCCTCCAGCTGCTGCTGGACTATAACTCCCATCATCCCTGGTTTTGCCTGAGCTGATGGAAGCTGTAGTTCAGCAACATCTGGAGAACCAAAGGCTCCTTACACCTGCTTTAACTAGAAATATAGTTATTACTCAGGCACAGTTCCCATTAATTTCAATTGAGCCTATTCAGGAGTCTTCCTTTTCTGTTTCTGGTAGATCTTCATCGTCCCAGAGGGCAAATAGTCTCTGAGCCGCAGACTCATATCTGCTCATTAATTATCTGCAGGCAGTGCAATAAAACGTCTGCCTCCCCCGCTTCATTTCCTGCAGAACGATAAGAGGCACTTGTGGTGGGAAGCCACGTGACTTCCCCTTCATTTCTTTCAATTTGCAGGGTCTGAAGCCTTGAAAGAGGGCAAGAAAACGGGACTGTTGTGATGCAAGAGCATCCAGTGTAATTTTAACGGCTCTTCCAATAATGGAGGGTAGAAAAGTGCTGCATGGTAGAGTGTTATTCCCATCCCCAAACATCTGGTGCAGCTTTATAATGCACACTAATAAAGAAGTCTAGAATTTAGAAGAGCCCAGCTTGGATCAGCTCAAAGGGCCATCTAACCCACATCCTGTCCTCACAGTGGCCAGCCATGCCTAATGGAGGCCTGAAGGCAGCATTGCCTCTTGTGATTCACATCCACTGAGTTGTTAGCAGTGGTTCTCCAAGACCACACATCCTAGAGTCAGCCAATGGCAGAGGGTAGCCCTGAGTTTTGACGTGAACATAAAAGTCCTCTCCGACATGATCCAATTGTTTTATTCCCCCCGTCCTCCTTTGTTTTATAGATATTCACCACGTTATCCGTGACGAAGCGGTCAGGTGGAGATATCACCCAATCCGGATGCTGAGGTTAAGCCCCCCCACTGTTCCCTCGTTGCCAGAGACTGGCGTTCGTCACCGTTGCTAACTCCTGAAGGAGCAGCCTAGGAAGCAAGAACCAGCCAATGCGTCCATTACCTCTCCGCCCCTGTCGACGGGGCGAGTGAAGAACTGCTTAGTTCCTGGCGGTGACTGAATGTTATGGCAACGGATCCAACAGTGGGCTGGGCTCCCATATCAAGCTGCTGCTTGGCAAGGCATTGAGCAAGATGCTTCCATGAAGTCGCAGCCTAAAACCAGCCTTTTCTGGTAGGCAGTGATGGAAAGTTTGCTGGCACAGCTTGAGACTTTTCCTCTCCTGGAATGAAGGTGTTCCTCCCATTTGTTTCCCCACTTCCTCACGTTGTTGCTATGAAATAGCCCAAGAGTTGCAGCATGTAGCAGCCTCATTGCAAGCCCTCTTCTGTAGGGGGTGCACGCAATGCGTCATCTCTCCAGACTTGTACAGAAATGAGCAACCAAGCCTGTGAAGGATTTTTTAGTGCACAGTTCTAAGAAGCAACTTATTTTCACTTAGCTTCCTTTATTCTTTTTACCCAGAGCTGCAGATTGGTGTGGCTCCCCTAAGTCCATAGATCAAAGATTAAATACTCCCATCACTGATAGGTTAGATTACTGCAATGAGCTCTATGTAGGGCTGCCTCTGATGACAGTTCAGAAACTTCAGCTGGTGCAGAATTCAGTGGCCAGGTTACTCACCGGGGCAAGACGGTTTGAGCATATTACACCCATCCAGGCCCAATTCTAAATGCTGGTTTTAACCAATATGGTTAAATGGCTTAGGACCGCAATACCTCAAGGACTGCATCTCCCCATACGAACTGACCCGGACCCTGCAATCCTCCTCCTCATATGAGGCCTTCCTTCATGAGAGATCTGGAGGGTGGCAACACGAGAGGCCTTTTCTGGGATGGCTCCCCACTTGTGGACTGCTCTCCCCAGGGAGACTCACCTGGCGCCTTTGTTACATAACTTTAGGTGCCTGGCAAAAATATTTATAACTAAGCCTTTCACTATGGCCATTTAAAGTTTGTGAGAAAGGGGTGTTATTGGCTTGTTTTGGTTTTATGATGTCAGCTACATTGTTGAATTCCTTCTCAAGTGAAATCCCTCCTTTTCATACAGCTAACTCTGTTTGTTTGTATATAATGGATCATAAACAAAATCTATTTGGATCATAAATTCTATTTTGAGATACCCTATAACTGTTTTCTTGAATACTGCCACTGTTGTTGATAAAACTTTGTGTACTTTATGTGTACTTAATGAAAGCAAAAAGTAAAACTGTCTTTTAGAAATGGGCACGATCTTTTAAAATTTACTTCATTGCACCAGCTTGTTCAGATAGTGACTCTCCTGTACCTGTGATTTGGAGAAGTTGTGGGATCTGTGGTGCGAGAGCCCTGTGGGAGCAGCTGCACAAAATGCACAACAAAAAGGACCCAGATATTTATTCATGTTACCCTCCGAATGAGAAGGAGCATGCATTTGTGTGCCTTGCAGTCTCTAGGTAGAGGGCACACTCCTATAAGCACATAAGCAGAGCTCTGCTGCATCAACCCAGAGGCCCACCTAATTCAGCATCCTGAATCTCGCAGAGAGCAGCCAGATGCTTGTGGGAAGCCTGCAAGCACAACCTGAGGGCAACAACACTCTTCCCACATGAGATTTCCAGCAACGGGGATACAGAGGCATGCTGCTTCCAACAGTGGAGCTAGAACGTAGCCATCATGATTTGTGGCCACTGATCCCCTTATCCTCCAGACAGGCTGAGCAGCAAGAGAAGTTTATAAGACTACTGTATAGGTCCTGCCTTAATGCTATGCTCCTGGAGAGAAGAGTGGAGCAAAACCTATTACAATCTCCCATGGGCAGCTGTCGTTACATCTTCATACTGAAGTTTACTGATGTTAAATGAAAGGGGTTGGGAACTGTCCTGTATGTGAGGGCTATGGCTATTAGCCATGTACCCTAATCCATCTGTGGGCCAATTACTTGTGCACAAACTTTTCTTAGCTGGGTGAAGAACGATGCATGTAAAAAGTTGCTCACTGGACCAGTCCAGTCCCACTGCCAGACCTGCACCCACAAAGACCTAGTCAGAAAACTGGCAATAGTACAAATTGGTGTTGTCGGTGATTATTTGACCAGGGATGGATACTCACTCACTCACTCACTGCTGTATCCAAAACAGCACACTAATGCAAAAAGCACATTATCATGCTAGGTATTGATCTAACAAGGTACAGCTTGCCTGCTCAGTGATCAGCCAGACCTTGTTTCCGCTAGCAAGAGCCTCTAGCAACAGCCTCTGCCACAAAGGCAGGTCGTGTAAATTGTGGATTAGCTACAGATCCTAACCCATTTGCCAGCTTACAAGCAGTTCCATTCTGAGACTATCTCTTTAACAGCTTTTCCGGTAATCAATCGATTTGGCTGAGCTGCAGATTTTGTAGGCCTAGTAATAAATACAGAATACAACAAATATCTTATAGATTGACATACCGTATTTTTCGCTCTATAACACGCACCCAACCATAACATGCATGTAGTTTTTAGAGGAGGTAAACAAGAAAAAAATATTCTAAACGAAACAGTGGGTGTATGATTTTTGTGGTTCATGCTGTGGCCACAGACATGTGATCTGACAGTGAGTTTGGAGTAGCCCAATGCAAAAATCCTGAGGATCCATGTGGATCCATGCTTTGTAACCATGTTTTTGCACCACTGCGGCCCCAGGCAACAGTGGGTGCATGATTTTTTTGGTGCAAGATGTAGCCATGGACATGCTATGTGATCTGATGGTGAATTTGGGGTGACCCAGTGCAAAAATCCTGAGGATCCATGTGGATCCGTGCTTTGTAACCATGTTTTAAGTGGGGAGGGAAGGAAAAGCACTCAAGGGACAAGGAGCACGCGTGGGGTGTGTGGAGAAGGATGCTGCTAATAATGCAGGAGAGGAGTATAAGGGGAGAAGGCTCCTCTCCTCTCCCGCTTTGCTCCTTTAAAGAAGCAGGCTCTCTGTCCCTCTCTCCTCCCCACTCAGCGGCTCTTCTCCTGCTTTGCTGTTTCAAAGCGAGCCACGGAGGAGGGAAGGAAGGGGAACCATGGATCTTCTGCTCACGACTGCAGCAGATCCCCTCAGCCACCTGTAGGCATTCCCTCCATAACACGCACAGACATTTCCCCTTACTTTCTAGGAGGAAAAAAGTGAGTGTTATGGTGCAAAAAATACGGTAGTTCTTTACACACACACACACACACACACACACACACACACATCTTTTAAGCCTTCATTGTGCACAGTGGGTCTGCTGAAGCTCGGGGACAATGCTTTTGTTCGCAATCCTATGTATAATTGAGCTGGGTGTGAGTCCATTGAGTTCAGATTGTGTATGCACAGGACTGAGCGCAAAACAGAAGCTTTGTAGGTGAGCCCTTAGATACAAGTTTTGGGAAAATTTTGTAAGCTGTTTAGACTTTTTTTAAAAAAAGAATTAAGTGGCATATAAATGTTGTTAAACGAAATAATAAAAGCCTTAACCGACCAAGCACTGGTTGCCCACAATTACTCTGTAATGAGGATTGTGCAATTATATGACCTAATAGGCCCAGGCCATGGTAAGTTTAGTTATCCACAGATACTTGCTATTTATTTACTGCATCAAATCCCACCTTTTTCTTCCAAGTTGCTCATGGTGGCATATGGTTAATCCTCACAACACACCTGTGAAGTAGGTTAGGGTGAGAGGCTTAGAGAAATCCATGGAGGAGAAAAATTGGATCAGTGGCAGCTCCATGATGTCTATATTCTCCTGCTGGGATTTGAAGACTAGTTGTTGGGGAGCAGCTATGGGGAAACGCTTTTGCTCTCAGCCTGCTTTTGAGAAAGAAGATGCTGTCCTAGACAGGCCTTTTGCTTGATCCAGAAGCTCTGCTCTTAGGTCTGCAGGTGTACAAGAGGGAATTTCAGGAATTACAAGCAAAGGAGGTTCTGGCTAAACATCAGAAGAACTTTCTGATGGCAAGAGCTGTTTGACAGTGGAATGGACTCCCTCAGGAGGTTGTGGACTCTCCTTCCTTGGAGGTTGTTAATCAGAGGTTGGATGGCCATGTGTCATGGGTGCTTTAGTTGAGATTTCTGCATTGCGGGGGTTTGGACTTAGATGACCCTCAGGGTCCCTTTCGACTCTACAATTCTGTGATTCTCGACACTACATGTAAGGCTGCCCCAGCTGAAATTTTCCCTCTCCCCCACCTATTTAGCGTACATGAGCTGTTCTCTCCTTTACCTCTCTTTTCCATATGGTAGAGACAAGTGCTTGGGGATTTTGATGGTGCATATTCAACATACCTTTATTTATGTTCTATAAGTGTTAAATACATAAATGCCTCTTTAATTCACTGGAAAATTTAAACCACTTGTACTTTCAGACTGAATTAACTGAATTTAAATATAATAGAAGTAGCATATTTGGAGCATTCCAAATATTACTGTTTCTAAAAGGGATTTAAAAATTTGCTGTGCATTTTGTGAGTGAAGGCACAGCACTATCTTTCACTTCAAACAATTTTTTTTCTTGCCTGCCAAAAGAGAGACTTGATAGCAAATCAAATGCGAGGCGCCAGATGTAATAAATTAAATGGCATTTGTATTCTGCCCCTGCCCTGCTCTTGATTTTATTAGATATTAACATGTTTAAAAAATTTCCCCAATGAATGCAAGCCAGATTTCTCCGAAGATATTTCATGTCATATTTATGGCAATTCAGCAATTTTAGCAAGCTCCGCAAGTCAATTAGGAGTCTTTGTTGTTATCTGGCCAGATTCACGTTTTGCAAGATTAATTCTAAGCCACTCATCATTAGCAGTTGTGAGCGTGACCTCTTTGGTCAGTCTGCCGCCTGTATGTGAAATGTGATCTGCTACTAGTACTGTAGCTATTACAAATACATGTCTTTCTCATTCTTCTGTCTGATTGAAATACTCAGTGGCTTTCCACTGTCCAGTCTAAAACTTGCCATGAGAACTAGCTGTGACCATACAAACAAAATGTGATGTAGTGCCATATTTTGAAGAGCAGGAGCTCATCATGACAGCCCCATAGCCATGCCCCAAAGATAATAAAAACTGCAGGCAGCTGTGCTGACATAACTGGCATAATACCCCATTTATTAGGTTTATCATGACTGTAATCCTATGCATGGTTTCCTGAGGTAATGTCCTTTGAACTAACTGGTGCTTGTTTATGACCGCCCAGGTTCAACTTCTTCAGTGCTTTGTCGTCCACGTCTAATCTTGCCCCTTTCTAACATTTATTGGTGTGTGTTTTTCTTTTTGTAAATCTACCAATGAATAAAATAAAAAATCAGGCTTAAAGGGTTTTCTCAGGGTGGTGGAAGGCATGTGTGCTGTGTCCTGTTGGTTTAGTGGTGGTAGGACTCTCCCTTCTTCTGACAGGAAATGCTCTGTGAGTGAGGGTACAAAAATGGGGAGCCAAGGAGGGTTAGTTTTGAGGGAAATGTCCCCATTTGCATCTTGAGGAATGTTGGAGGGTATGTGCCCTTCCATTTTCCTATTCTGCCTTTTACAGTAGAGCAGATGTTTCACATGCAGAAATCCCTGTCATAGCTGTCAACGTTTCCCCTTTTTAAAGGGAAATTTCCTTATTCCGAATAGGATTCCTTGCAAGAAAAGGGAAAAGTTGACAGCTATGCCCCTGGTTCAATCCCTGGCATTTATAGTTAGGAGAATCTCAGGCAAGACTTCTCTATCTGAGACCTGGGGAAGTTTCTGCCACTCAGTATACGCCAGGGGTCCCTAAACTAAGGCCTGCGGGACTCGTTTATCCAGCCTGCAACAACCCCCGCCGCCCGCTCTTAACCGGTACTGCGCTGTGCGGCTGCCCACTTCCGGGTCGGAGGAGCACCAGAAATAGTTTGTGCACATGTGCAAGCGTTATTTGCGCATGTGCAAGCATTATTTCCGGTGCACACCCGGGTCGGAGGAGGCCCGTGCGCATGCGTACAAGCTATTTCTGGTGTTCCTCCGACCCGGAGGTGTGCCAAAAATAGCGTGTGTGCACTCGTATGGGCACGCGCTCCCCTGCCCTCTGGCCCACCGCGCGATCGGTGCTGGAGACACCGGCCCGAGGCACGGTAAGTTTGCTGACCCCTGGTATACGCCATTCTGGGCTAGATAGTGCAGTGGCGTGGCTCTGTATGCCACAGCCTCATAAGTGTAATTTGAGGAGGGCGGTAGTACAAGGTGCAACTCAAGAAACCAGATTTGGCCCAGAGTGATCAGTGGTTTCCCTTGTACAGTATGATCAAGAGAGGAAGACTGGATGGCCTCATCTCAGCACTGAGGATTAGATGTCTCTTGGTTCCTTCTGCCTCTATAATTATTGGGTGGATCTGCTGGATCAGCACAGCACGGAATGTCTGCATTTAGGACGTCAGCTACTTCCTCCAAAACTATCCCACCTGGAATGCAGAGTCTATTGCAAACTGAGCAAAGGAACAGCATGCAGCCTGTATTTGATTATTTTTAATAGCAAATCTTTCCATTGAGGCAATACCTTTTTATAGGTTTTTGCACAAAGTAACTGTACCTGCTTCTTATTTAACACACAAGAACATATGACATTTATTTCGTATTAATAGCAGTCATAGTAATATTTCTTACTGCCCTTCACTAGAGGTCCCAGGGTCAACTACAACAATAGAATATTAAAATCAGTTAAAATAGATTACAGTCAAGAGATAGATCCTAAATATATAGGGTTGGATTCAACTAACTCAATGTGCTAGCAGAGGCCAGAACAAGGGTTCCTTCTTGCACAATGGGGTTTCCCCTTTCCTCTCTGTGCGCCCCTTCAAGCCTCCCCCAACTCTACAGACGTTTGATTCAAATATTTCTCCCTCTTTAATGCCATTGGTAAGGTGAGGCTGTAGCTGCAATCCTGCAATGCTACTCACCTGGGAGTAATCCCAATAGAACTCAGTGGAATTTAAATCTGAGGTACTATCCCAGTTCTTTTCAGGCAGACATAATTCAGTCTTGCCTAACCATCCCATTTCCTTTTTAATTTCATTTTGAAATCATCCCTTCCAAACCACCTAGTCCCCTGTTCTCCCACTTGGGCACTGGTGAAAGATATGGTAGAGAAACAAAACAAAACAGCTGCTGGACTCAGGCAAGCATATCTCAATTTAAAAAGATATGAATGAACCCTTTGCCCTTCCTGCAAACCTCTTCACTCCTTGATGACACAAGCAAATAAACCAGGAAGCCTTCAATTAACCATAGTTTCCTGTTTCATCTGAACTGGGAAACTATGGTTACTAGCTTTGGAACAACCCATAATGTTAAACCATGATATGAAGTTGTTTGATTCTGGCATACTCCAAAACTGGTAATCATAGCTTCCCAGTTCAAATGAAGGAAGAAACTATGCCCCTGCAACCCCACAAAGGGCAGCTGAGCCTGAGTCACATTTTAATTTCCCACAATGTCCCCAACACAGTATCACTCCAAGACATTGCAGCTACAGTCCACCACAGCTACAGCTGGCCCACCACTGGCCTAACAGAAATTTTAATGGATATTACGAACAGTTTTAGATATAGAAATATTTAGACATACATTTAAAGTAGCATACTGTGCAACACTTTCAGGAAAGAAAACCCCCCTATTAGTATTCAAAATGTAAACAGAATGCATTATTATTCATAGTGAAAAATGCTATTCCTAGGCTGATCTGTTGACAGTTGCATATCAAGAACTGGTGTTCTGGTATGCTAATTATTCTAAAAGTACTAAAGCTAGGCTGCCCTTTGTGTTTTTCTTACATTTGCAAAAATCCAGGGTGTGTCAGGATGTGTCATCAGTCTGATTTTATTGCTCTGTGGTTATGTTCTAGGCTATGATCATGCATTTTCCATGCAAGCAGAAAAAAAATTGCAGCCAGCAAGCTATGTTCTCTGTTCTAGTTTGTTTATTTATTAACTTAAAAAAAAATAATACCCTGTGAGAGAGACAAGAAATGAGGAAAAGGACAGGAAATTCAGAATGCTGAATGCGTGCTTGCCCTGGAGAATGGGAAAGACAGGTTATAAAGCAATATTATGAGTCAAGGACACTGCTCAAGAACACTGTGATCCAAACCTCATTCTATAAATTATTTCATTCCTGGATTTAAAAAGACAGGGATTAATTAAACATTATAACGGGCACATGGGACATACCTGGAGGCAGACACTGTTCTTGGCATGCTGCCTACACACACACACACACACACACACACACACACACACACCCACACCTTTTCTTTTTCACTCTGTGCAAACACTGTTGGTATTTGTTCATTTTGGGATGGCAGAGTCAGTAAGTATGGGAACCTCTGCACAGTTGGCGGGGGTGGGGTATAATAACCTTTGCTGGATCAGACCAAATTTCAGCATCCTGCTTCTCGCAGCAGCCAAATGCATTTGGGAATCTCACAAGTGGGGCATAAGGGCAATAGCCTTGTTTTGTTTTTGCTCCCCAGCAAGTGGTGTTCAGAGACATGCTGCCATATAGCCGTCATGGCTAGTAAGCACTGACAAACCTATTCTCCATTCATTTGTCTGATTTGGAGATGATGAAACTGTGGTCCTCCAAATGTTGATGGACTATACCTTTCCTCATCGCTGTCTGTTGGCCATGCTGGCTGGGGCGATGGGGGTTAGACTCTATCAACATCTGGAGGAACCCCCCAATGCACACCAAATTACTACCTCTTGTGCCAATGAAGTCACAATTGTGACAAGATTAAAAAAGGTAAAGGTACCCCTGCCCGTACGGGCCAGTCTTGCCAGACTCTAGGGTTGTGTGCTCATCTCACTCTAGAGGCCAAGAGCCAGCGCTGTCCGCAGACACTTCCGGGTCACGTGGCCAGCGTGACAAGCTGTATTTGGCGAGCCAGCGCAGCACACGGAACGCCGTTTACCTTCCCGCTGGTAAGCGGTCCCTATTTATCTACTTGCACCCGGAGGTGCTTTCGAACTGCTAGGTTGGTAGGTGCTGGGACCGAACGACGGGAGTGCACCCCGCCGCGGGGATTCGAACCGCTGACCATGCGATCGGCAAGTCCTAAGCGCTGAGGTTTTACCCACAGCGCCACCCGCGTCCCCTGTGACAAGATTAGCATACCCCTAAAAAGGAAAGATAATGGGGGGAATCTAGATTTGATAGCTTTCGAGACTATGCATGATACAACTGCTTGTTTTATTAGAACCATTGCCAGTTTTCCCACTATCGGGTGATGTACTGCATTTCTATCTAAATGATAGTGATTTATTTGTAAATCTGTGTTCACACCTATAAATTAGAATATGATAATTCTTTGAAAATCAGTGTCCCCCTTTGATCACTTTTTTGTGGGTACTGCACTTCCTTTCCTGTTCTTATGATGCATAAGCAGCCACCTTAGATGGCAAGGACTGAGCCTGTATGCAGAACAGACTGAGCTGTAGCTCCCACCCTCACTGGGATGTCTTTTTCCACCCCCGCCGGAAAAAAATAGTAATGGGGAAAGAAGGGATACGAATTAGCTCAAACTTTGTTTTCAGTTTTTTTGATTAAAAATAGTTTGGAAACAATTTTTTCAGACAAAAGTCATTTGGATATATTTTTTTCTTAAAAAGCATTGCTAATTTAGAAGAAGGTGCATAAAGCAATTCCCAAGCAAGACTCATTTGTACCTTCTAATTTGTGAAGGCTACGACACCAATGCGTTCGACTTTATTGTCTCCTCAAGCGGCTTCATCAGTCTGCAGTCAGCTGCAATATGAATAGAGGCAGGTCCCAGGAAGATGAATTCATTCATTTTATTCCACTGTTTATTGTTTATTGCATACATTACGGATGCCAACATGATATTCCCTGCATCCCTGTGCAATGCAATATAGCTTCGAAGATACTTATTTAGAAGACTCCCTGGTGGAGGAATTAGGAGGGGAAAATACGTATTTAGGCAATTGCTTTGCCTCTCATGTGGCAGAGACGATCTAATGCCTATGGCTTGTTTACAACTGGTTTACATTGCCCATTCACTGTTCCACATATGAATATGCTGTCTTAAGGCACATGAGAAAGCTAAAACAAATATCATTAATGCAGGCTGTGCAGCTCCATGTATTGTTGGTTCTCATGATTAATTGTATCAAGGCTGACACTACTTCACTGCAGTATCACACAAAAGCAGTGGGGAACCTGTGTCTTCAGTTCCCCTTCGTAAGGTCCAAGCAGCCCATGCTTCTACAATGTGGCTTGTAATTGTCACCTGTGAGCAGGAGTGCCAGCTTGGCCCTGCAACCGTGGGTGCACAGGGCTGTAGG